TAGTCGACATCCTCAACCATATTAATGGTGACCTTAAAAGATCCACTACACGTCCTACGAGATGCCTTCGACATTCTCTGCTATTGAGGAAAAGCCTTTCTGAGTGTCAAGGGAAATATTGTCGGAGAATTGTAAAGAATAGCAAGTATCATGCAAGAATTAACAATTCGTGAACATAAATGTCGAGTGATGCCAAATGTATGCAGCTTCTTCATATGGTACGTCAGATGGACGAGTTTCCTCGATATCAACAACAGACCATCGCTTTAAAACAGAAGAAAATCCACTCATTTCAAGAGGATATGAAGGGGTAGAAATTGAGATATAACAATAGATCGGTCGCATACTTAACAGGTGCTTTATATGGAAGATGGCAGACCATGCAGAACAAAGTGGAAATATGTGGGGGAAAGTAATAGAGATGTTAAGCACGCCACTAGAAAACAGTTTGTCGTTCTCTTTCAGAGAGGTACAAACATAGCTAGTTGATTATGCGGCTGATAAACTTGGGTAGTAGTTGTCTTGAAAGAGAATCAAAGACATAATCGAATCGGACACATTTCTTGTATCTGTAGTGTGGTGTCGAGTCCAAGCTGATTATGAACACCACGACAAAGAAACACGTGCCAAATAAATCAGAAGGCGAATGCGGATTGGAACCAAGTTTATATCGTTGGCGATCTCGTGGTATCGAATGAATACCGAGATCGTGCCAAGAAAAGGTACAAGCGGGATCGGCAGGAGGAAGTTCGTGCGAACGGCGTCACGAACTGCGAAACGGCAATGGAGGATAATGGATGAGCATTATGGCTGTCATTAGCTCAGTTAAACAAACGAGCACAGTAAGACAATCACTGGTACAACTGGTTATAATAATAATTTTCATTAAATAATTCACGTTCTCTTGGTAAAAGTAAGTCACTACACATCTTTCTCATCTAGTTACCATATCAGGATTCAGTACAACAGCAGGATCCAAGATGTTTACTTGCATTTGTAATCAAAATGAGATTCATCAATGAGCTCTTTTAGTGCAGGTCGAGGTGTGAGTAGCAATATTTTTTCTACTGTCCAGAGAAAATGTGATGTAATTACTATCGGTTTAAACATGATATTCTTATCACCGGATACTTTGTTTGGTATTGAGATTGTCATTATCTTTCCCATGATTTTCGGTATGAGATTAGTTGGAAAGGACTAAATCTCTCATTTTTCCTTCCACATAAATATTATTTTTAAGATAATAACTTGTGTTGCACTTAAATTAACACCTCAGACTCCTTTTATCTTCACTATGCAAATATGACTGATACGTATGGATATTTGGTTATCCTTTTCACTTAATTTCGACTTCTATAAAATCACTCCAACCTATGACTCAACAAACATTTATTTTAACGTCATATCTTACTACAATAATAAGTTTTTTTTTTTAATTATGTTCTATTTTTTTTCTGTTACCAATTTGACGATACATACATAGACCTTTATTCTTGTTCTGCATTCACAAATATGCTTATTAAGCTATTTGCGTATATGACGTCTCCTTTATTTCTATTTCCTTATTTTCTCCCTTTCCTACTTCAAAGTCATTCACTATTCTCCTCAGTTACACAGAACCTGATTTATTATTATTATTCAGTTATCACTATTTTTCCTCTTTTTCAAGTATAACAAGTACAGTGCTAACATTATTGAAACTTGTGTATTATTGCATTTTTGAAGAAACCCGGAATTGTTTTTTCACAACACTTATGTACCCATAAGACGTTCGTGAACAGTGGTAGTAAATCATATCCTCAACAGATTCTAACGTCAGAAATTGGGGAATAATGGAGTTACTGACAACCAAGCACTAGGCATTAGGGTAATGATTCAATATACCTATGTCTAGTACACTGAGCATCTTGTTTGTCGCAGGTTGTTTACAATTAGAGTAAAGACAACTGTTCAATGACATTAAAGCTACTATTTGACGTTTGCATATTCAGCACCTCATATTCTTAAACTTATGTCAACTTTGCTATTCTACTAACACAATCTACGATATACAAATTCAGACTGTCAAGTCAAGAATAAAAGGTTGTCATCTGATAAAAGGAAATGACAAGTGAACAATTATGACAGTGACAGTGTTATTCGTGTTATAAGACACCTTACATTCCTTCGTTACATTTTTGAAATAAATACACATACTAATCTGTTATTTAATATAATATATTTCTGCAAGGGAAGATACACGCCATTTTTACAGGCATGATCTACAAATTCCAACATTTATTGTTTCGCAGTATGCATTTTAAATAAATATAATCTAAAAAAGTGAATATCAGTTCATTCGTTCAGATATACTGAGTAGTCTTCAAAGTATTCTCCAAAGTGGCATCGTGTCCACGTTACACACCAGATCCAATCTCGGCATAATTGTGTTAGGAGTTTGGTCATGCTATGTATTTATGCGATGCAGCTTTTTAAGTTTGTAGTCGTTATAAAGTAGACTTGTAGAGTGCTTGGTGTGAACTATGACCTCGGGAAAACATGTACGTCTAGTTTGTTCCAAATGTCAGAGGTTTCATAGCTGTGCCCTCAGAGCAAGAGTCTGAAAAAGAAGAGAGACCAAGGAGCAGCAAGGCACTTTGATATGGACGATAAACAATACTTAACATTTTGTAATGGAACAGACGGAGGTGTGATAAATTATTAGACTAAATTCGTATTAGTTTTTGTAGACAGAGGGAAATGTGATGAGAGGCTCCAAATGAGAAAATGCAGCAGTAAAGAACAATGAGTTGTGAGTAAGTTGGAGTAAGTTCAAATGAAGGAAGGGAAGTCACGGTTGGAATAAGGAGGGCTGTTTGTTAGAACAGGAAGTGCATATAGAGAGTAAAGTGTTAGGAAAATTAGTAACTATATCTTTTATTGTCTGATTTTTTCATCCGATGTCTGCCACACAGTGTTAATGTAAAAGTCCGGGTTGGCATGTTATCGGTTGTCTTAGTAGAATAGCTAATCAAGAATAAGATTGGAAACATGTGTCTGAATGGTGAGCGTAGGAGAACAACCTCAATATCACGGACTGACTGATTAAATTACGAGTAAATTCTGAGACCTATTAATCGACTAATATTATCTATATATTCTTATAATATAACTATTCAGTAATTAGATTATGTATATCTGTATTTCCTTTATTATATGCTTTATTTTGACCTATAGATTATGATTATACGATTTACTGTTCTTAGATTATGTTCAGTTTCTTAATAACTGTCTCCCACGTTCACAGCCTCTTTTCGGCTTTATTGTGTATAATTGTTATTTCCTATTTTATGGTGCGATGTGGTTTGTTTGGCTGGTATGTGAATCGAATATGTCTGAAGTAAATGATTCGCATAGCGGAGGCTGTTGTTCGTGTTCTGGACTCGACTAGATTGGCTAGGCGAGCAAAGCATCGATAAGGAAGCTAGGCTGATCAGACCGGTCGATCGTCATTAGTTTAATGCAGCACTGGAGTGAATGAGTCGTCTTTCGATTGGCGAAAAATTACTATCCGGATTTTAAAATCATAACGCCATCCCTCTTCATGCCGCAGCTGATCTTCAATTATATAGGATCCGTTCTACTTAGTTGTGCCTCAATACACTCTACAATTTGCTTTTGTGACTCACTTGTAGTTTGTTCAGCGATAGTTCGTTATAGTTGCAACATTTAGCTTGGGACTTTAGCAAATGAATGAACATACATTTATATGCCAAGCTTTAAACGAATTGACAGTTTTTACAGGTCATGTCACATTTTTTGTCTTCGTTCTTCGTCATTCCATTTTAATGCAACACGACTGTCGCAGTGAGCTATGGAGCTTCTGCCCAGACCTAGACCATAATGTTAATATATTCTCTTATTCATTAACTCAAACCGTTCGTATAATTTTTGGTATACATAATCTTATCACCTGTTTGATTTAATCACTAGATAACGCATTTTATTGCGAAATTTCATGGAGTTTAATTCATTCGATGAAACTGTCAGAGCAGTATTTTGTTTGAAAACCTATGTTGTTGTCTTTTGATCATGTTTGCAAAACATCTCAAATCCCATAGGTCGCAACTAATGGTTTGTTTTTTAAAACTATATATTGTTTTTCAGCTTTGCTCATTTTACCGTGATCCATCAGAAAATAAGACTAAAACTAGCGTTCGTGATTGATCTATTACATCTTCAATACATTTTTTTCACCCGAGTTAATTACTTCTCACTTATCCGCAGCAATTTCATTATATAAATGGTTGTCGTGAACGACTGTATGTGAGACTACAAACGAACCAGATCTAAGTTAACAGATCTTGAATTTTGACGCGAAATTCACTTGCGCACTTGGCTTAATACAATTTTAGCATTAAATATGATGTCATTTAACGATGAAATACTATGGCAGCTTTTGAAGGAAATCAGATATATCCTGTCCTGTTATACCACACCTAATGGTCCTTACTGTACCATCATCAACTCCGATGATTAGCTCCAGATCACTCAAAATTTCGCACTTCATTTTCACAAGTGTTTGAGCATAAAAACTATTATTCTTGAGTATGAGAAATCTCGCTGTTATTATTTTGGGAAAACTTTTTTCTCTTAGTCGAATAATGTGAAATCTTACATTGTAATTCACGGGGACGAAAACAAACAACCATGCACTAGATGACCAAAAGAATTTAGCCTTTAAAACTGCGTTCCGAAAATCCAAAAGAAAGATTTGAATCTTTGATGCTAAAGATGCAGATATTTTATGGAGTGTTCTGAAATGTCTAGTTCACGAAACGTTAGGTTAGTAATCATTTATATATAGATACAGAAAACTGAAGGTAGAAAATATCATATTTTGCTAGCTTTTTCAAATAAAATGACGAAAAAAAGTTTTTTTTTAGGGAAGTCATATGGATTACGTTCACTTTTTAGTGTTGAACATAAGGTGCTTGTTTTATGCGACCTCTACTCTAAGCGCTATTTTGAAAAGGTTTCCAACGACGCCGGGTCATATGTGCCGTACAGTTTATAAATGAGCATTGGAAATAAAAAATATTCTCAGATCTCTAGTTTGTAAGTTAATACTTTTTCAATGTAATTTGCACTTGTGAACGCACTTACTTCTTTTAGGTCTTTGTATTTCATGTCATATTTTTCGAAACTGTTAGCGAAAGTAGGTGGAACCCAGGAAATATCAAATATCTAAAGCGAGGAAAGCTTCTTTAAATTTGTGCGTGGTTGATGACTGTAAATTCATGCGGCTGAAATGATGTGGCGCCTCTTGTCGGTAGTCTTATTAGATCTTACAACACTTTATAACATTTTATTCAATAATTCTCTAAAGTTTGACTGAACTCGATATTTCATATGAGCTCGATTTTAATTTCACCAAGTGTTTTTATTATCTTTCGCGCGATGCACCCAGGTAAAGCTATTCCATCGGTCTTTATTAGTTGTCTTTACTTGGGAAATTTAGATTATGATAAGTAGGAAGCTATAAATTAATAGCTTAATTTGGTAGCTTAAATATGTTTGTGTCGTTCACAGCAGTTTCTTCAATCCTCAACATAACTTACAGTCATATTTTTTACTGGAAATTGTGGTTGACCTGGTACATTTGAAATGCATCTATAAGACCTGCTTTTTTTATTTAAATGGTGGCTTCGGGCCTCATCATTTTACTTTCAGTGTGTATATATGTGAAGTTCTGGCTTTTCTATGACCTTGGTTATTGAAGTGTCTGATACCGTTTATCTTTGTAAGGCGTCTCATTCATCTGTCGTTCGAGGAAAGATGCGTGACCTTATTTTCAGTTTAACCCTGGGTTTAATTAACGTTCATTTAGATATATCTGATGCATTTATGTAGTGGCACATTTCACAGTAACGAACAGAACTGAACTTGAGTGTTATTTTACATATAAATATTTTATTGTGAGCGCCCTTGGCCATGAGTCAGTCAGTCTTCATAAACCTGTTAGGTGATGAACAAGTAACTTGTTGCAAAATGCATGACGTAACTCATCTAAAATTATCTATGGTACATCGGAAAGTCTTAAGTGTTGATGGCATTTGATAAAGGAGTTGCTGTATTAGTTTCAATGTTATAAACACCGAAAGTCGACTCTTTCAAAGTTTTCAATTAGAGATCTGATAAGAATTATATGATGGTCAAAGTAACAAGGTTTAATAAAAGTATCATTTTTAAGTCCATTTAGAGCTTTTGTAGTGTGGAAAAGCTTGAGGGCAATGCAGCGAAAAAATCGGGTTAAAATACATAAGTTAGTAAACGTTTTCGAAATATATGTTGAAAGACCGTACTTACGTTCCTGTGTGTTGTACGGCTGTAATCAACCTCAAGGATATCGAAATGCATATTTGAGAAATAGCTCCAAACTAAACATTATCTACCAAAAAATTGGTAGCAATCGATCCTAACATTTACTATGCTATAACATGATTATTATTCAGAATAGTTATACATTACGCGTCGAGTATTTTGTCATTAGTATGGGTTTACATTGTTCCAGTCACTCGAAATTACTCAGCTAAAGTATTTTACAGGACTGGTATGTTCGAAAGCGCAAATCAGATTGTGTCCAAAAAGGATCTGAAAGTCCGTGTAGAACATGCTATTGTAAAGACTTGTATTCGTTTCTCCAGTGACCCTTACTAATTTTATGTGGTTAGCAGTTTACACTTACCTATCTTCTCAAGACTGCATATCTTGAAGAGGTTCTGTTGAACAGCTTTTTCATACACATAGTTTCCTTTATTATCTTAAGGAGAGCAAGAACAAAGATTGGCGCACCAATCCTTTTTCTTGCTCTCTGAAAAGCTTTTGTCTACTAGTCCACATACATACAGCGTTTGTCCTCTGTGTTTTGATCTAAAACGTTGTCATTTCCACTATTTGACAACAAGCATCACAAACGCCTAAACAATATTGATGCTCTTAAATGCTCGTTGTTGGTTAGTCATTAAAATTACTGCTTCCAGGTTGTCCTCGCTCATTTACATGTAAAAAGCTTAAACTCCGAGGGATCAATTACTTGATTATATTTATCATCATAATAGGGGGAAGATGTGTTTGTTAACAGTGAAAGCTAAGAAAAAAAACAGCAGACAGCTCATGTTTTAGCGTTTATTAAAAGCGCATTTTATGATGACACTGTAATATCGTATCCAATATATTAGCATCACTTGTGTTGCTTTCTCTATTTTAGTAAATGCGATGTTTGGAATGTCGATATATGGATCTAAGTTAGGTCATCAATGTGACTTGACTGCATAAAGGAGCACCCTTGATTATAGGTTCATAATCTGCAAGATCCATTTGATTACTCTGAAATGTCAGTAAAATCAGCTATTCACTCTCTCTTGGTTTCTTGCATAGAGTATCTGAAGTGTTTACGTCTAGTTTTCGTGCTTTTAAGGCTACAAAGTAGTACGGTATAAAAGGTTGGTAATTGGTCAGTATTTAACTTTGATTAGAAGAAACTTAAGTTATGTAAAAGGCTTTTGAATTTTAGTTTTAGAGGGTTCCTTACCAATTATAGCTAAGCTGATGCACTATCGAGTACTTGACATGCAAATCTATCTCATTTGTTTCACCTTTGTAATAAACGCTTATTACGTGAAAAAGATATCATTTAGTCAGTCAACTACAACGTAGAACCAGGAACATATATGCAAGTTGCCACACCTCATTAGCACAACAAGATGAACACCAAATTCATTAGAAAATTACTTCAATGGTAGTAATATATAGAAGAAAGTTTCCGTATAAGGATATAGTACAGGAAGAAAGAATTAGTTCGTAGAAAGAAAGATATGAAGTGATTTTAATCTCATAGCTTAACGGAAGACAAAGAGTGTATGTATCTACGCCATCGTGATCGGTTCTGAGCCATATCATCCAGAGTCTCCAACTATTGGTTACGATAGTCACATGGACCCCAACCAAGTAGTCCGCATCTACCAACACGACTCAGACTAGAAGATGGTGACTTCAAGCACTGATGCTACGTTTTGGTTTGGCCGCCCCTAACTTTCTTCCAACCATCTCCAATACCGGATAGCATTGCACGTGGTGGTAATCGGTGTTCAGGCATACGCAACACGTGATCCAACCATCTTAGTCGATGAGGATTTACAACCTCATCGACTGATTTACCATCATTCCCTACTACCCTGTGTCTAAGTTCACTATTACTTACCCAGTGATCCCAGCAGATGCTGGCAATATTTCTAAGCCATATGTGGTCAAATACTAATAGCTTACGAGTATCTTCTTTTCTTAATGGCGGGGTTTTGTAGTCGTGAAGTTGAACAGAGTGAACTGCTGCGCAGTATACTCGTTCCTTAATTGATAGACGAATATTTTGCCTTTGCCATAGGTGACGCAAGTTTGCAGAAGCCAATAGATTTTTTCGAATCCGTGTTGAGGTTTCGTCAGGCGCCAACCCATTAGGGCTGATCAGACTTCTAAGATAAGTGATGTTGTCGACGCGTTCGACCATTTGGCTGAGGCATGCAATTTTCTGTTAAGAAATGTGACTTTGTCCACTTTACTTTCACTAATAACATACAGAAACATCGTTTGCTGCAAGTCGAATACCACTGAGCATTTACATCTTTTGAAAATATACTTGCGCAAATAACTAGCATTTTATCGCAGGAGTGTTTGAAACAGTTTTGTCTTTTGCTGGATCAATATTTAGGTAATGATGAAGTTAAAAGTAGGACGACAAAAACGTCATGAACGCATTTTTGATCATGGTGATTTGAACGTATGTCAATCATGTTCAGGTATTGCCTATCTTGAAATACTATCTCAGGATAAGAGTGTGTCTGAAGGTTGTTAAAAATATGACCATTTCAGGGAGATATAGACATAACCTTTCTGTAATCCGTAGTTTTCATACTTCATGGCTGTAGAAGGCAAGTGAAAGTTCTAGAATAGTTATTGAAGATTCACGTAAACTCATTTTTCAACTTCCCTTAAATCACTCGTAACCAAGTGAAGAACGAACTAACAGCAATTAATAAAAACGATTTATTGAAGTAAATGTTTGGTTCGTGAACCAAATTACTTTGAGCACTCTTGAATATTGATAAATCTAAGACTTTTCGTGAGGTTTATTATGCATATCATATGATTTTAAATCGAGAATTCAGTGGGTTGTTAAACATTATCGTCAAATCATTTGATTAGTTTCCTACTCAATTACTTTCAATGTCCGATTATTGCAACCCATCTTCTATTAGTTACTGTATAACTAAAAATTAGTAATGTAATTCTGACCCAGAACGAAAAAGCACTATGGAACGATAATTGAATTTTCTCAAAAAACTGTTATCATGGTTAATCTTATTTCACTCATACCTACCTTCTATATCCCATAGCTTCCTCACTTTTCCAGTGGTTTCTCCGACTGCAGAACATGTAAATGTAGCTAATGGTCTTCTATGCAATCACATTTTTCAGGTCTTTGTAGACGTATACGTCATTATATTTTGTGGCATAAAATAGTTTATAACAGCGTTTTACCTACTGACCTATGAGGAGAAGTATCTTATGCTTAACTAGCCATTTTGATCAATGATCTTCCTCATCTAACAACTTCCATCATATTTCGCTTATACTTGTCAACTACAGTCCCATATTTTCAGAAAAATTTTAAGTTACATAGTTTTCGAAGTGCTTCGAAGGATCTTACAAAGTACACAGTATACCTACTTTAAAGATTTACTAAAAAATTAAACCACTACCAATCGAATCATTTGTATAATTAGCCAAGTTAATTGCCTTATATTCATATTTATGGTGGTCGGTTTCTTTTTGACAAAGTGCTTGATTCTTAAAAGATACCGATATGACACCTTACTTAAATAAACTGCAGTTATTTGAAAGTTTTAGACAAGGATTCTTCTAAGATTACCCAATGGTTTCAATCCATAAAGCACTATTTTCTACCGCTCAATATGCTTTTCGAGCAGAGCTAATAAATAGCAATCTTCATCTTATGATCTGATTATCATCTAAGACTTCATTTTGAAACTCCTAAAATCTAGTTATGAATTAGGCTATTGATCTCAGGTAACATCCATCCCTTTTTATTTAAATATACGTACTCGGATAAGCAGTAAAATAGATTAGATAACTATATAGTTTAATCAGACTTGTTGCTTACGGACGTAAAGCAATCAGATTAAACTTGCCAGTAGAAATGATTAGTATAAGAAACAATGATTTTTACCGTGACAGACAATACTGCCGTATTCACTCTTCTTTTTTTATTTGCCTTCGAAACATTTTCCGGCGGTTAACTATTTGTAGAACTAAGGATCTAAAAAACATATGTCAAACTTCATATTAGTTGCGAATTGCTTTGTTTGATTATTTCTGTTTTCTTATAGTTAAAGAGCAGGTATTGAACTGAACTGGACATATATAAGAAGTTTACTAATTTTACAATCAAATAAAATCTTTAGTTAATATGTGGTTTTATCTAGTAAAACCATTGTTTATTGTTTACTTGTAAAACAAGAGCAATTTATGTATTCGCTGATTGTGAAATAAATAAGTAAGCTTAGGTTACCGAATTCAATAGGGCTATTGTTCAAAATTGATTATAATAAATTTGTATATTTTTGAATTTATATTTTAGCAGGCCTAATGATAGAGATGTACCCCGAGCTCCTGCGCTGCCAAATAGAACTTCAGCACGTAGTTGGCATAAAAGCGAATCAAGTAGTAAAGAAATGAAGAAGTTAAGCAAAGAGCTGCCTCATGTAAAAAGTTGTGCTTCGAAATTCCAACAAAGTAATCAGAAACAATTAGTAAACATCACACCATCTGCTTGCATATCCAAGTTCTCTCTTAAATCGGTTAACGACAAAGAAATCAAGCATTTAAATTTTAATAGAATAACAAACATTCAAATTGATGTAAAACCGTCCACTACTTATACTTCAGCCGCTACAAATAATACACATAGGTTAAAACGTTCAATAATTCGAAAAGATGAAAAGGATTTTTTAAGCAGTTTTGAGAAAAAATATTCTATACACAATTATAATCCTTTAAAATTAAATAATAACTGTCATATAAGTAAACCAGATTACAAACATGCTCTTAGCTTGACAACTGGCAAGTCAGAACTGGTAAAAAAGGTGTCAGTTAGTCAATCTGATCATTCTAAGTGTAGTAATTATCTTTCATTAAATGGAAGTCAGTTATCTTCATGGTTATTGCAGTGTGACAATGCTTCTACGACATTACATAATAAAAAAGAAGCGATAGATTCAACTCCACGAGGATACGTCAACAGCTATTTATCTTCACAGCCTTTTATAAGACAATCAACTAATGTAGTAGTTGAGTCAGGAAAGAGCATTGATTTCAATGAGCAGAAATCAAATGGGAAAGCTAAACGTGTTTCAAATGAGTTGAATACAATCAGTTCAGGGTATTCTATAAAAAAACATAATAATCGCAATCACAAAACCTACAACAAACCAACAAACATCAATGCTTCGAAATATTATCGATGTTCAGAAATCGAGCCGAGTGAGCAGTTAATTGATAATGAATCTGATGAGAACGTAAATTCTAGTGCTGCCAAGTATTATGATATTAACTCTACAAATGTAACAGATTGGGGTAGTGTTTCTTCATCTGAATGGGGTGATGATATGTGTGTAAGTAGTTAGAAGACATTCATATTTTTATTCATTCATTAGTTTTCACAAATTTGTCTGGAGATAATTTTCACTATGAAGTAACTTAGTGAAGCGTTTTTTTTACAGATCTGTACATAAACATAACATTGTATTTAAAACTTAGCAATGAGTCTTTTCAAAGTTTAAGTCATACACAATAAGACATAGTTCGAGTGTTTTGTTAACTTTTCGTACCAGTAACATAGCAGTAAACCTTTGTATATACTTCCTAATCACTAAACTTTTGTTGGTTATAACTGAGTAATTTTTATCAGGCAGATAAAATATACAAATTGACATCGATCTTAGAAAATGGAGGGTTGTTTTTTAAAAGTAGCAAGCAGTTGGCTTCAGTTTAAAATTATTAGTTACATAAAATGGAATTATATTTCACAAAAACTCGTTTTTTCCCTTTCATTTCAAAAATAATCTATTCTCAAGAGAAAAAAATAAATAATGGATTTAAAATACTTAAATTCCAATTTCTAAGATATCGTAAATAATCAAACCATAATCGGATCGTTAGACATGGTTTGAATATTCAGATCCTACGACTCCGCCCCATCCATTTTATTTCAGAATAAATTATTACTACTGAGTTCCAGTATCAGTCAAGTGAACATCAATATCTTACATAGTCTAACCAATAAATTAACTAATCACGTAAAGTCAGATATTAGTAACTCAAGGCTAAAATTACTAGAGGGTATGAAACAACCCTCAGCCAACGATTAAGGATTTAATACTTTATGATACACTGTTATGTTTAGCTGATCTAGTTACTAGTGACTATTCACTCAAGTCAATCAAACACAATAGTGACATTTAAGACCCAGGTCTGCTGCTGCCACTTTGACATGGTGATCGGGCTTACCTTTCGGGCTATACAAACCGAAACAATCGTTTCTCAAGGTCATATCATCCCAGGTAGGTCGATTAAAGAGCGGTTAGACTAAAAGCAGCAAACCCAGGGTCCGAGGACGAAGTCATACTGCTGACTGTACAGATGTGTAACGACAGTAAGGTCTTTCTTTCAGACAACCAGCATAACAGCGATGCTGTCTTCTCACAAGAAGGTGTGGGGTTAGAAAAGGCCGACCATAAAAATGCATACCTCATCTCATCCCGCGAATATCCTTCTCTGGTGGCAAGGTCTCAACAAGTACAAAGCTAACATTAAAATTATCCACAAAACGGTCGTTTGTGATCACCCTCAAGAAGTTGTCCCTTGGGTGTTGTGGTCATGCTCTCAGATCACTAAGACCACCTCTAACCCAATTTCCTTTTCAGGTACCTCTAGGAGAACCGTTCCACGGTGTGGGCGACCGGGAAGTGAAAGCCGTCCTCATACCTCTAACAGCACTCAAGACCACTAACTGACTGAGATCCAGGTATCTTTCCCTATAAGATTTAAGTTATTCAGTCTTACTTTATTTACAAAATAATAAGAAGTTTCGGGTACTATCGATTTACAGTTTGAAGGATACCGCATGCTTATACATATTGACATACTGTACGGAAAAATGATTCTAGAATGCATATAGATAGGTATTTATTCTTTGACCTTACATATCTACTAGTCAAATAGTAATCCAGAGTGGTTTATCGAAAGTCTATGTTCAGCATTACTAAAGAAAAGAAGTTTTGCTGTATATTAACTCTTTTTTCAATCATATTGAGTAAATGCTTACTTAGTAGGTAAACAAGATAATTAACGGAAGAATGCTTAATAGAGCCATATGCTTTCAGAGGTTCATCCTATTCTAACAGCGGTCAACCATAAATACTAATTGCCCCAAAGATATCAAACCATTTGCCAACACAAGAAACTCGGAAATTGGGAGTTGGTTAAAGTCTAGATATTTTTGGACATCAAAAATAGAAAAGAAACAAAGGGAGAAAAATAATGAAGTTAAGCTCAGAAATGATCAGAAGAGATTAATAACAACTTGAAGTAAAGGAAAATAACTTATCTGGACTTTTATAATAATTTTCTGGTCATAGTACTCAGAGTCTTCGTTCATTGATTTATAACATATCCTAGTAATAAACTAAAAAGCATGAATGTGTTCATATGCATCAAATTAAAAATCAGACAAAACCTAACATTTCAGTATGAATAGCCATTTCTTTGGGTTTTACGTTTAGTAGACAAATTATTTTTCTCAGATCAGTGATCTCACGGACTGACCTAAGTTTTTACCCAAATGTTTTTACTCATCATCAACACTGCTTGAATATCTCAAACAGACGTCTTCCTATACGTCTGTATTCAGCATGTATTTTATTTTTCCATAATGCCATAGGTCCATACTACATTAAACGGTACTTAAACCGTCCAAAAGAGTCCTGTGTCAACAATTCGTTCTTGTAAATAAGTTTTTATGTTGATTATATATATATATATATATATATATATATATATATATATATATATATGAATGTAAAGAGGTATCCTATCACAGGCTCATATGGCCTAGTTTCTGTAAGATCTAAGTAACGTTGTGGACAAATTATTAAAAGCACTTTTGAAATGTATACTTTGATAGAACAAAGGAAGATGATTTATTTTATACAATAGGAAGAAACCTATTCTTACTAATATGCATTGTTTTAGAATTAAATTATAGTTCAGTTAGGTTTTTGTTAAAAATGTACACTTTGTGTGTATCTAAGCAACCAAGCTTCTTTTACTTGATAAGGAATTATAACGAATGATTTAATATCACAAATGTGGCCGATTATATAAATACAACAAATATTAACATAAATCTACAAAAAATAACAAATGTGAGTTTTGTCCTTGATTTTTAATGAGTGTGTCGTGTCATATACTTTTGATTAGAGAAATATAAATTTTTCATTAATGCAGTTCAAAGAATGTTCTGGACATATGTTTTGCGGTTGTGATCATTAATAAACAATTTGTATCTGAAAACCTGAGTATATATATCCCCTTTTCTAAAAACCCCTTTCCTCAGGTTTGTTTGTAATAGATTTCAAGACAAAGTTCAGTGTTCAGTAAGTGAGCATAAAACTAGTTTCATACGTCTAAAAACTGGAAGTTCTTGATTCCGAGTTAGTATTAAAACCTTGGCCGACTAGACATATCCGACACTCGTGGCACTACAGAAATGCCCCATAATAGTACATTTTTATGTAGTAAGTAATTTAAAGGTACTAAGAATATTGTACCGATTTCTGCTGAATAATGACGGTACATTAATTGTAAACTAACTACTAGTTTAATTGCTGATCTAAATTATGTTACCTGCGTAATCGGCATTCGAAATACTGGAAATTGGCAATTATAAAAAGAGTGTAACGTCTATGTTAGGATGCATAGTATTTATTTTTTAAAAAAGATTAAAGGAGGATTACTTTGTCGACCTGGCTATAGTTGTTCGTGACATAATTTTCCAGCTATATGAAATTGTCGAAGAATGCTCCTGTAGGCAACTTCTTGTTCCTCAAAATAATGTTTTCCTAAGTAATAATATATTACATCTGAGGGATTGTTTTGTTCAACAATTTAGGCCACTTTTCAACTTTTTTTCTCTCAAATAAACATTAATACTGATCTCAGTTTATTAATTTACACTTGAAAACAATAGATAAATTAAGGTTTACATTTGGCAAGTTATTCAAATTTTTATCAATGCTTAATCTGTTTTTCGCAACTTTAATAAAAAGTTCTATGATTTTGGTCAAACAAAATATATTCGCTTGACAAATTAGTGATTAACAATTTGATTATTGAAGACCTTTTAAAATATATATCTGTATATTTAGTATGGAGTTGATAAATTTCTTAAATTTTACCAGAGTTAATAAACAATAAATATCGAGGGAAAATTTATACGGAAATTTTAAAAATCTATTTCTTAACTCTTTGATTGAGATCATGAATCGATCAATGTTAGACCACCATTGAAAAACTGCATCTTGGATGCGCATTGTTGAAAAGTCCCATATTAGGACACAACAGACGTTCAGTTCTTCCAGGTTTTCAGTAATAATCTAACTCTGATCGATTCATGATCTCAATCAAAAACTCGATGATCTCCTCGACCTCATATGGGTGTTTCTTAATTATTCTATTCCATTATGGCGTAAATTGCAGATTACTTTAAGAAACGGAATAATTACACTTGTGTTCTATTTTAATTTTTGTGTGAGTTTTCTGTTTATTTAAAACAATTAGTCCCTTTGATAAATTTCGATAATGATATTAGAAGACGAAGATTATCAGAACTATGTGATATATTAGCGCAATACATTTCGAACAATCTGGTCACACATATACTTGTTAAGAGCATTTATATATAAAAATAAAAGGTCAACTAGACAGGAAACGGGGTAAGAGGAGATAAGGATAATGATAAGAGTAATAATAATATAATAATATAATATAATATATAATATATATATAATAATAATATTTTCTGTTTATGTTAAAACGAGATATTTGGACAAATAAAAAAATTTCATAAAATACTGAAACAGTTGCTCCATTTATATTTTTAAAGATTCTGTTTCTAAATTGACTGAAGCAGATTTTATTGGTTCAGTAGTCAAACACTGTGTTGAGTCTGTACTTATAATTTATATTCAGATTTAAAAACTAATAAAGAAAACGGACATTTTTTGTCTGTCTAGGTACATGAGATACATGCATGTATGGCATACAGGAGAATCTTTTCTGTTCTCTGTGGTGAATAATTTAATGAGACAGACTAATCAGCTTTTAATGCCAGACTAGTACAAAATGTTATCCTCAGATGAATACACACTATTAACAGAATTTTTCAAAATTTGTATTGGTGTTTTGAGACACCAATTTTCATATATAAGGTTGTGATTTGATGTTGAAAAAAAGTTAGATGACAACTTCACTAGCTTATTCTAAACTGAATGTGTCGATGACCTTTTTTAGGTCAACTTATCTTTTTATTAAATGGGGTTGAAGAGCTTACATACCTATCTGAGGATCGTATTTAGGATTTACTTGAAGCTAGCACAGATAAATTTGAAAAGTCGGTAATATAATCAGGTCACAGGTACCTGAACATCATTACGATTGTGAACCGAGTGAGATTACTGAAAAAGGTCATGTAATTCAGATCATTTATTTTGTTAATAAAGGATAAACAACAAAAATTACCATTTGTATTCAAACTTTTTACAATTTTTTTCGTTGAACTTTTTTGTTAGCTGCAGGACTAAGAATTTTTACGAAAGGTCTACTGTTATTCATTCATTCATATAGTCATTAAGTCAAACAACCGATAACGTTGCTTATAAAAACGAATATATATATATATATAGAAACGATGGATAATCATGTTTATAAAATGTGCGTGCCTTTCATTTTTTTTAATGTCCCCCCTCCATAACTGACTTTTAACTTCAATAATTCATTCATTCGTTTTCATTTAATTTTTTAAACATGAAATTAAATAATTACCCACAAATATACTAATATATCCTTACGTCATTTTAAGGAGTTTGATCGTCAACAATCTTTCCGTGTACATGAAATGTTTGAGGAAATCGATCGGATTTTATTTGATAACTCGAATCTAGATCTACAAGATTCAATACTGAGGTATACATCAATAACAACAACAAATGTTTACGATGAACCGTCTCAGCATATCAATACTTCAAATATTATCAATTCGCCTTCATGCACGGATGATTATGATTCAATGGGTTTAGATAATTTTGCATTAATGTCTTTAGATTCAATTGAAAATCGAAATCCACGTAAGCCATGTTTTTTTAAAATCTAAAATTCTATTTAATTTTAATTTTTCTTGTGCGAACTGTACAAAAAGTTGATCAATGTGTGTGCAAACCTTATTTATTGAAAATATCTGTCCAGCACAAGGATTTTGTTAAGAAAAAACTGATGTTAATCAATCATATCTCACCAGGCTCAAGGTGGCTATATAAGTCGATTGACGAGAATAACTTTACTGCATTTCATTATGAGTTTGAGTTTAGTCTCTTGAATATCCCGTAATTTCGAGCCAGTATAGTATTTTGCCTATTTATTAATAATCTATTTTACTGATGGTTAAAAAGTTCACTCCATGAATGCTATTCATTACAAACCTTGGAAAAAACATACAATCATCTCTAATCACATCAGTATTTTCATATAAAATACAGTTGTATATCTCTTGAAAGTGACATTGTCTGAAAAATTTCCTACTCTAAATCATATTTCGTTCTTTAGCTGAGTTTATGAATTCGATTTATAATTGTATTTAGTGCCTAGTAGAGGTTTTAATCAGCTTTGCTCAGTAAAAAGGATATTTATTTATCTATTTACCAGTTTTATTGATTTCGTGTCGGGATGATTCTAATGTTATATGTGTGGTAAATTCCAATCACTTTAGAATAACTGGTATAATTCTAAACTTAACGTTAGTTTAGCTGCTTTGAAGATATCTTAACTTAGACCCCAAATGTTTAATGGAGTAACTACCGTGAATTGACGAATAATCGAAAGCAAATAATTACTACATACGTTTTCACTCTGTTACAAGGTAAACACTAAAGATTTTTAGCTCAGTCAGCAAGAACACCGAAAGCACTCACTCTTTAGTAGTTTTACGTCTTGTAAAAAGTAAGTTCAGTCTAGAGTTATTTTAGACAATATTTTACTCTTATGATCGTTCTCAAAAATTACAGTAATAAATGCATTTTATTCTGGGTTAAGTGTAAATTAAACTTTCCTTAAATCATGCTATCAATATCGATCATGCACCAGTTAGGCTACTCTAAATTTTAGCGGATGAAGCGCAAAAAGTAATTGTAATTCATAGCTGGAAATTTTCGTAATATGATTGCAAACAAGGATTCAACATACAATCAATTAGTGAATTGGATATTGGATGTTTAAAATGGGACGGAAAATTATTATTTGTTTATATGATTCATTTCCCAAGACCATTTCAATACAGTCTGCACAACAGTAAGCATTGCTACGTCACTTGCATAATAAGAGGTATCGATCTATTCACGTACTTAGTGAGCGATCCGTTCTATCTTCATGACTGATGTTTGTTCGAAGATAGAAATATAAGACAGTTTGATTTTAGTTACATAAACCATATTAAAATTATCCTCTAAGTAATCATAACACATTTAACCCACTCACCAATGGTTATATTTAACTTGGTCCATAATAACAGTGGTCTATATTTTTACATAAAATTGATTGACCAAAAGTTGGACTCAGTCAGTCAGTCAGCTACAACGTAGGACCAGGCACATATGTGCATCGGTCCAGGTTGCCATACCTCATTAGCACAGCAAGATGAACACTGGATTCATAGGAGTGGTTAGGTCAAAGGTTGCAATAAGGATATAGTATAGGAAGAAAGAATTAGTTCGTAGAAAGAAAGATATGAAGTGATTTTAATCTCTTAGTTTAAGGGAAGACAGGGAGTGTATACACCGACGCCATTGTGATCGATTCTGAGCCATGTCACCAAGAGTCTCCAACCATTGGTTACGAAAGTCACGCGGACCCCAACCAAGTAGTCTGCATCTACCAACATGGCTCAGACTAGAAGTTAGTGACTTCAGGCACTGATGCCACGTTTTGGTTTGGCCGCCCCTAACTTTCTTCCAACCATCCCCTACACCGATTAGCATTGCACGTCGTGGACTATTTGTCCAAGTTGTAAGGAAACCAGATTTGCCGTAAATATAAGAAACAATAAAAGAAAACAGAAGCATATTTCATTAGTAGCATTTTTTTCTGTCTCCTATTTTTACTTATTTGATCAATACTGTCTACAAAGTGAAAATTAAGTAATTTTGTGTCAATGTAAATAGAAATTAATTTTAAGAAATTATAAGTTTTGTTAAAAACTATTTTATAGAGTTACTTAGCGTTACACTTTCCTATACGGAGTAGTAGATGTTATATTTCAGTGTGTAATACTTTAGAGTGTTACTATTCTGTTGTCAAATATTCATTCATTTGGTTAGTTGTAAGAGTTATCAGATAATCATGTCAAATCAATAAACGTTTTTTACAGCAATCTGATAAAGCCTCATTTTAATGATCCTTACTTGTTATCAACAGGAACAGGTAACCAATCCAGAAAAGTAACCTGAATGAAAAATCGTTTGACATAAAATTTAAGGATAAAACTTTACGTTAGGAAGTGATGATTTAGTTGAAATTGAATGCTTTTCTTGAAATTATTCTAATGAATTAGAAAATATGTAAATAGGTATAGTTTTTTTTTGAGTGTAAATGTACAAGAATTCATGATTAATTAGAAAAACAAAGTATATATCAAATATTTTTATCAACATGGGAGTGGAAATTCATTTGGGTTGTTAAAGACACAAAGCAGTAACTATACACCCTTATTCTACATATGTTTTGTGAATAGAAAGAAGTGCGAATCTGTTTTGTCAATTACTCTCAAGGTTGACAAATGGACACAGTAACGTAAAGATTTCACGCAAGCATGTTTTAGATTTTCAACAGTGAAGCAAAATGTTTGGAACAAAATAAAGTAATATTTTATAATCAATAAGCTAAAGAGTATGAGCGACTCTAAAAGAAAGAGATCTTAAAGTTCACATAAAACTGTATATCTCGAACAATAGTTTATTCTTTACCATTATTAGAACTTGTAACATAATACATTCTTTTATTAAATTCCAGTAAGGATAATCTTATATTTACTTGATTTATATTCAAAATCAATTATGGTCTTACATTCTGTCATGTTCATGACAACTTAACTTTTCTCTTTGCCCGATGCATAAAAATTCAGTTCATTCTCAAACTTTTACCCATTTACTGCAGTCGATACTAGGAAGTTTTATTGCAAACTTTAATAGATTTTTTTGTAAATACTAATATTAGCTGAATGACGTGTTGCGTAAAATTCGAAGAATTTTCCTCTAAATTTAAAATAAACGATTATTTATCTGGATATTCTGTGTTCAAGGTGTATTGATACCTCTGACATTGATTAAATGACTTTTTCCAGAATGTTCATAGAAGTTTATTAAAAGTAAATTTGTAAATAGTGTTTATCAGGTTTGATAACGAGCTCATACTACATTTCTTGTCAGGTTCTACGTTGTCTATTATTAATTGACTAACCATATACCATAAACTTTTTTGGTATTTTTGCGTACCAACTATGAAATATCTACGTATCAGCTGATTCTTGTGCAGATTAAGATTTAAAAAACATTATCAAACGGAGTAGGAAAAATGTGATATCTCATTGAGAACGGTATTAATAAAAATCGGTAAGTATTTTCAATAAACAAATCAGTAGCCAAGACTTTTAAGTCATGAAATATAATTGTTTTATTTTTCTAGACTCAGTAGCCAATAGTTGCCTATTTTATGTAAAACCATTCTGAACTAAATTTGACACTTTCTAACTGACAACTTCGTTTAGCTCATGAATCACAATCTACCTTGTGAAATCTTAAATATTTCTTGGATTATTTAGCTATCTCAATCTGTTCATTATTAAACAACATCTAACTATAATCATGAGATTTTTACCAAACCTTTGTAATATCTCATTGTACAAAAAGACAATTTTATGAGTAATCATATCGTTAAAATGCAGTATTTAAATAAATTGGCATTACGAACCCTACTTAGTGATAATACCGAAGGAATTTTTATATACTAGTGACAAATAATTCCGCATCTACTTCGTAACATATATTAAATCATATTCTGAAATATATCGATGTCTAACATATATGACATTGTTTCTAAATCATCCTCTTGTCTATTGTGCTAAATCATGAATTAATAACTGAGATATTTTACTTTGAATTATCAAACGATAGATTAATCTGTAAACATTATGATATTTTGTATATTATCGATTAGTGACTTTATCCAAGAGGCCGAAAGTGGGGAGAGTCCGCTCTCCCTCTCGAAATACTCTCACACGGCCACGCGTATACAGCCTCTGCCAGGGAAGTCCTACTCATTGCCTTCTCGTGGCGGGGGTGTTGTTTACGAAAATGAGAGGACGAAAAGCGAATGTCCGGCGCTTTAACCGGATTCCAAATCAATGGTGCACATGGGCTCCAGTATCCTGCGGGAACAAATGGCGTATGAACCAATCGTTGGTCACCGGCTACCATGGGACTGCATCTCCTCACGATGCTCCACTGCCTTGTGGGTTAGACCTTTAGGTCAAAGGCTCGGGGAGTGGCCCCCTAAGATAACCACCTGCTTCGGTTTGGGCTCCCGGGCAGTATCACAGCCCATACACAAATTGATGAACTCTTTATGCCTATGGAAATTACCTTTCTCGCTTTGAAAAACAAACAATTGATTCAGATTATTATCATTACAATTATTGTCATTATTAATACTATTATTATTATTACTACTATTATTGTCATTATTGTTGTTATTATTATTATTATTATTATTATTATTATTATTATTATTATTATTATTATTTTCCACATTATTCACCCTCTTTTATACTTATACAGCGGCTCGTCTTTGGTGGAAATTCGACTGTATCTAAACGTTCTCGAGTCACTGTCCGGTTGAAAATTGTATGTTACCACCGAATACGAGGACTGAAGCAGTTTTCCTGAAACCACGTGCACCATTCAAACTGGCTGCCTTCAACGTTCGCACATTTATGCAGGTCGGACAACAGATAGGGCTGGCTATGTCTTTGGAAAGTCTTAATATCGATGTCTGCTGTCTATCCGAGACCCGTATTCAAGACTCTGGCGAAGTACTACAAATTCGATCTCCATCTGTCGCTTCAAAAAGCTTGTTTTACGTGCGCTTATCCGGGGACCCTGTGGCATCTTCGTCTGGTCTTGCTGGTGTTGGTGTCGCACTAAGCGCTAGAGCTGAGGCAGCACTAGTCGATTGGATCCCCATTAACAGTCGGTTATGTGCTGTTAGATTAGAAAGTTCCATCAAAGTGAGAAGAAATCGGCGTGAGAAACGATGTCTTTTCGTCATCTCCGCCTATGCCCCGACAGATTGCAGCCCGGATGCAATCAAGGATGAGTTTTACCACCAGTTATCAGTTCTTCTCCAGAAAGTGCGTTCGACAGATATTGTAGTACTAGCCGGAGACTTGAATGCTCAGGTCGGGCGTCTAGGCACAGAAGAGAGTCGTTTAGGTGGCCGATGGGGACTCGTTGGTCGCAGGTCAGATAACGGGGACCGTCTACTGCAACTTTGCACAGACCACAACCTGTTTCTGGCTAGCACTAACTTTCGGCACAGTCATCGCCGATGTGCCACCTGGCGTCCTCCCTCTGCATCTCAAGCCTGGACTCAGATTGATCACATCGCGATCAGCTACCGCTGGCGTGGTTGTGTACAAGACTGCCGCTCCTTTTGGAGTACCTATCTGGACTCTGACCATGCCTTGGTCTGCGCCAATCTTGCCTTACTTTTCAGTGGCCAACGAAGTGACCACCACCAAAAGATTGATGTTAGCAAGCTGGTTGCAACTTCTGTTGCAAGTAAGTATCGAACCGAGCTAGCCTCTAGGCTAGCTACCACTCCACCGAAAAGTATAGATGAGCATTGGTTGCAATTGCATGACGCCATGAAAATGGCGGGTACAGTCATTTGTGGGTTCGCGAAACGACCCGCTTATAAGCACTGGGTTTCTTCAGGTCCCTTACAACTCATTGAAGCCCGTCGGTCTACTCCGGGTGACCGTGAGTTTGACCATAAACGAAGGATGTTACGTAAGGAAATTGGGCAAAGCTTGCATAAGGACCGAGAAGCCTGGTGGTCGATGCGTGCTAATGAGCTGGAAGCAGCAGCTGCATCTGGTAACTACCGGAAGCTCTTCCAGCTCATCCGAGCCACTGGCAGCAAGAAGTCTGGTGTGAGTGAAACAATCTGCGATGATGATGGGACGCAAATCACTAACATCCATCGACGTCTTGGACGATGGGCAGAATTTTTCGAAGGGCAGTTCAACTGGCCTGCTGCTCCGGCAACATCGGTCAGATTGTCCTACCCTCCATGGCCGGTGACGACTGATCCACCAAATGAGGTGGAAGTCCGCAAGGAACTCCAACTCTTGAAGCGTTACAAATCACCTGGCCCAGATGACTTACCTCCGGCTCTTTTTAAAGATGGTGGTGACATTTTGACTAAGGAATTGACGACGTTGTTTACAAAGGTTTGGGAACTAGAGAGTGTACCAACGTCATGGAATGAGTCGATAGTTGTCCCTATCTTTAAAAAGGGTTCACGTCGTTTCTGTAGCAACTGTCGAGGGATAAGTCTACTTCCGATTGCGTCCAAGCTATTGGCTTCCGTCATTCTTCGTAGGTTGTTCAAAACCCGAGAAAGATTGACTCGCGAGGAGCAGGCTGGGTTTCGTTCTGGTCTAGGATGTATTGATCACATCTTCACCCTCCGCCAAATGTTAGAACACCGCCATACTTATCAAAGGCCAACAATCGTAGTGTTTCTTGACATCAGGGCTGCCTTCGATTCATTGGACAGAACTGTTCTCTGGGATTGTCTATTGAAGAAGGGTGTGCCTGAGAAGTTTATTAACATCCTAAAAGCCCTATATACAAACACCTCAGGCAGAGTGAGGGCATACAACCACCTCTCTCCATTGTTCCATTCGAGTAGTGGGGTTAGGCAGGGTTGCCCAATCTCACCATTCCTCTTCAACTTTGCCATCGATGACATTCTGGAAACAGCTCTGATGAATGTAAGTAATGGCGGTGTGGATCTGTTGCCTGGAGAAAGACTTCTCGACCTTGAGTATGCGGATGATATTGTCTTACTGTGCGATAATGCCCAAGGCATGCAATCCGCACTTAATCAGTTGGCAATCAGTGTCCGTGGGTATGGTATGTGCTTTGCACCTTCGAAGTGCAAAGTACTTCTACAAGACCGGCAGGATTCCAATCCTGTACTCACCCTGGACGGTGAACAGATAGAAGTAGTCGAGAAGTTCGTGTATCTGGGTAGCTGCATAAGTGCTGGTGGGGGTGTGAGTGATGAGATCAATGCACGTATAGTGAAAGCCAGAGCGGCTTATGCCAATCTGGGCCACCTTTGGCGCCTTCGTGATGTTAGTCTGGCTGTAAAAGGTCGGATCTACAACGCGTCGATGAAAGCAGTTTTGCTCTATGCTTGTGAAACCTGGTCTCTCCGAGTTGAGGACGTTAGACGACTCTCTGTGTTCGATCATCGCTGTCTCCGAAGGATTGCTGACATTCAGTGGCAACACCATGTCAGTAATGCAGAGGTTCGGCATCGTGTGTTCGGGCACAAAGACGATAATGCATTTGGTGTCACCATCTTGAAACACCGACTTCGGTGGCTTGGACATGTTCTACGAATGTCGTCCCAGAGAATTCCACGTCGTGCATTATTTGCCGACTCTGGGACTGGTTGGAAGAAGCGGAGAGGTAGTCAGTATATGACATGGTGTCGTGGTACGAAAGAAAGCTGCAAAGGACTGGCTTCTGTTGGTTCTTCACGACTCCATGGTTGGGGTCTGAGAGATGGTGCTACACAATGGCTAGAGACGTTATCAGATATGGCTCAGAATAGAAGCCAGTTGCGATCCTGCTGTAACCTTCTTTTACTTTCTTCATAAAAAGTGGTTGTGTCTCCTTTACCTGAAAGATTTCTTCTGATTGTACCTTTTCGTTCCGTCGTTACTACCACACTACTTTACTCCAATCTCTTCGTCATTGTTCTCTTTTTCTTCTGCGCTCCTTAGTTTTTTTTTCTACTTCTCTTCGAATTCTCATTGTTTTGTGTGGCGCATATATATTGGCGCTCTCTTGTACCAATATTCATGTGTTCAAATAAGTAAAGAAGAAGAAACATAAGAATAATGAAAGATACAGTATTTGGCATTAGGTAAATTTTATTTTGCTATTAAGTCAATCATACTCAAAACTGACCCAGACCATTCATTTGTTATAAAGATCTATTTTCACTATCTCAAAATCACAACAAATAACTGTTACTTTATCTTGGATGAAGAACTTCAAATTTAAATAAAAACCATTGTTTAGTAATATAATTGAAAATAAATATCTTACATAATTTAGACATTTACAAACACTAATTTTCCTGCATAGATCATTTATGTGACAACAGTCAATATAATCACTAATTAATTTATTGTTTACAGTACATTTAATGATGACCATCATTAAAACAAGTTAAAACAAATACTATATCACTACCTTTGAGTTCAATAAATTGTAAATGAATGAATTGTTATTTGTTATGATTATTTCCTTGTTTGTTTCAATAACTGACACGTTAAATAATAAATCAGTGAGATAAACAAAGGGAGGCTATAAGAAAATAAATTGGTTCTGTTTAATAATTATTTGAAATTTACAAATTTTGTTTTAAACTAAGTCAAAGTAAACATTCATTCTCTCTTGTTATGTTACTTGCAGTGCATGTATTTAGTTTGTTTGAAATGATTAATAGAAAAAAGAATTATTATTTAAGTAATTCGTTTGTTTGTTCTTCTTTAATCAAAATATTTTTACAGCTTATCAGTATCCTGATCATCTTAATTCATCAGTTACCAACTGTATAAATAATAATCCTTGTGGAATTCAAGATCATTTATTTTATGAATGTAAAGACTGGTTATCTCGATTCCCACATTTACGTGTTGTTGGTAAACAAATAAAACTTTCTGATGAAAATAAATCTACTTTTCATCATGATGATAGTAATCTCATATCAGGTAGAAAATATTGTTTATTTATTGCTTCAGTATTTGATTTCTAAAAACAGCAATACTATGAACTTCCACTAGAAAATATAGGTAAAACGTTTTAAGACGAAAACTAGTTTTCATAAAATTATGCTTGGACATAGTTACAAATGAAAGCCTCTCCAATTACTTTACATTTAATGCGTAAATGTGTGTTGTGAAGGTTCTTGTATTAGGCAAAAGCCACAACGATATAACATTTTGCTGTTGGTTTCAGTAGTTTCCTTCTGTAATGATGTTCTCAGACAGCAAGAGTTTCATGAATACCTGTCATTGCTTATTTCGGTTACCTACCGATCAGGATTTATATGGGCTCGCCCCTGAAATAATGAAGACATACACTTCGAAACTTTTTACTGTTTACCTCAGAATAGAAGTCACAATGTAACAATGGTTCAGGATAGAGAAATAAGGGTATATACAGAGTTGTGGCATCGGGTTTTAGGGACAGATTATAGGGTCAATTTTCAATGTCCCAGTTTTAAGCATTACTATTTACCACTATTTGATGTTAGCTTCATGTACATTTGTTTACTTTTGTGGTTAAAAGCAGATTAAGAATTCATCCCTACGGACAAATCTATTTGTTTCTCGAAGTCACGTAATTTCGCTACCTTCATTTGCCTTCTTGATGACCACTTTTCTTCGTACACTCCAAAGTATAAAGTAGTGTCAATCAATAAGAATCCTTGGACCTAGGTTTTCTGCCGATAGATATTCTTCGGTGAACTGTACCTATAATCTTGAGGAGACTGATTCTCTCTGACGCACTCGATCACATGCCACACAGCTTCACAATCACAGGCTGCTACTGATCTATCTGGGTCTCGACTGACCTCCTGTGGGACTAAGATGTATTTACAATTGGTCGATCACTGAATAGTGAATAATGTCATGTATATCAGGCTCTTCTTATTGCATATCTAATTTTACCCATCAAGTTGCAATGTGGGCACTAGTCAAGTGACTCGGCAACGCTTGCATCATGTTATGATGTAAGATGGTGCTTGGAGGTAGTCGGCAGGAAACTCTAGACCTGGGTTTCGTGCTGTTTGGCACTCACTAACAAGGTGTATGTATAATCTTGAAGAGAATGATGCTCCTTAATGGATTTGACCCCATATCAAAGTAAAACACAGATCGCATTCTGAAAAAATCTGGAAGTTGTAAAACCCTACTTATTCAGTCAATTTGAATTTATGGCAATAACAGAAAACATCGACATCAAATATTATTAAGCACTCCGACTTGCTGAAATCTAGAATAAATGTGTACACTCAAAAGGCAGATGACCAATAAGGAGTTATCTTCTGAATTATGCCTTTACTTCAAGTTCATGATAAGAATTTTGTAAGCAATTGTTGAAATTCATTACAGCTGGCGTGGTTTGTCCTTGTTTTCTATGATTAGTCGGTTTGGAAGTTCTAGGATTACTATAAAATGGTGTATGCGGATATTCTAATCTAGAAATTACTATTCGTTTTCTTTGGCAATGGGTTATATTTCTGTCACTTATAAAGCGTTTTCGTTTCATGAGTAAGTATTTCGTGAGCCAGGTATATCTGATTTTTATTCGTAGAATTAAACATTTATCAAGACTTTAGTGTACAACTTGATATATTTTATACTGAACCTCCACAGAAGCACTCAAGAAAATGACAACAATCGTCTCATCCCAAATGATTGAGATGAGTTTTTTGAAGTTACAGTTGGATGCCTATGATATAGTAACTCACAAATGACATTACGTGAAGCTATAGCATGAATTGGCTGAAGTTAAAAGTGTGATTTAGTGGATTTTGATGCAGTTATCGTGTTTCTGTAATAACCTCAACGTTCTGTTCTCATAGGTACCCACTGCTAGGCGATCCAACAATTAGGAAGCAACAGCTATCTACAGCTCTATAGTTTTCAGTAGTCCTCCAACTAATATTAGTTCACAAGTACTTACACTTATCTTTAAAATTATTGTATTATTTTTATTCTCAAAGTGCATGTTAAAATAATGATATTTTGTTAGATTCTTTTTTGACCCTAATGGGACTTATTTTGACAAGTGTCTCAATAGCAAACTGTCGTCAATTCATATTATTTATTTTACATAACGCTTATTTTAAATTTTTATAGAGTTCTCTAACATGATTAACGTATCAAGCACAATCATGGATACATCTCTGAATATGAAGAAAGTTATCACTGACAGAAGGTTAAATCATATACAGTAAGCTGGTTTTGTAGGCCTTGCATACATATTTATTACTGTTATTATCCCATCCCTACATTAAGTGAGACGACATTTAAATATCTTCAGAATTTGGATGCCTCTATCTCAAGGATGAAAAACTAACACCAATTTCCTTGTTGAAATCTAGTTATAATATTTTATTTCAAGCTTTCGTTATCGTCCTCACACAATTTTTACCTGTTCATTAGATGTTTGAAGTTATATATGCACTTAAAATGGTATCAGCTGTTCGGCAATGCTACGCAATTAGTGATCCTTCGCAAGTACTAATAAACTCACACAGTTTTAATTTACTCTAATTTTCATGCCTTGTGTTTCGTTTTTAGGAGGTTTATTTGAGTCGTTTTTCAACATCTAAAATAAAAAGACATTTGTATTACTGTTCTTATTATGTGACATAAATGATTGCTCGCGTTTCTCATTATTTTTTTTACCGAATTAAAATTCGCTGATTACGTTCTAGTCGCTTCACTTAACGATAATATGTAATATGTATGAGAACCAAAGTGCTTTTCCATCTTTTAATTGATACTTCGTACAGTGCATTCGTTCGCTTGTTAGTTTGATATTTATGAGAAAGACAGTTTACTGTACTGGAGAACATACAAGTTAGGCAGACACAACAATTTCGGATCTTCAAGGTTTTTTTGTTGATTCATATAGGAAAACTTTTTACCAGGAGGGTGAATAGAAATCAACAATGGTCGAAAACTATTTTTGAAAATTTCCAAAAGAGAATAAAGAATATTAGAATTCTAATACTCTCCGTTTTTCGATAGTGGGAAGAAAATAAGAGAAATAAAGAGGATTTCGTAAAGAGAAGAAAAATGACGTTGTTTAGAAATTGAAAAATAAAACATAGAGAACATACTTACTATGCTAATCGATATTCAGTCACGTGATTTAAAAGTACGTCAGTTTAAGTAACCTGTTACAGATATGATATTTCATCAATCTTACCCCCTATTGGTGTTTAGATATATGACTTAATTACACTCAAGTAAGCCATATGCATATGTATCTATGGAATTCAGAAGCCCTACCATTGAGCTTGTTTCTAACATTTCGAACTATTTTCGAAGGAACACCCTACGGATACATTTAAAATATCTGTCTTATAGTAAACTACTTATGAAGAATTGTCCGTAATAAGCATTTGAAAAAAATTGATTTCCTGAGAATATGTGAAATATAAATATAGTAACTTTGATTACTGTTCATCGTCCATATTCACTTAAGGACTTTGTGAATGAACAGTACTGTTCTTTTTATGCAATGTCATTGTAATTGTTTTGGATGACTAACTTGTATTGTACGGATTAAAAGATCTAGCTGAAATTTTGATATGATAATAACAAGCCAGTTGATATCTACAGCTTAATTGGTCTATTTATTTTTTCTCTATAGAAGTGAAACGGGGAAAATTGAAGAACATCTTTCTAGTTCACTAACATCCACTAACTGCATGGAGGAAGAGATATTCGCTATAGATGGTGAGTATAAAGAATTTACGGATGGTGTAACCGTAAGCAGGTGAGTATTTATTGGAATATGAGTTAGAAATGCGCAGGTTTACATGATAACATGCTATGAACAAAGTTATGTTATATCTAAAGGAATATTTACAAATGTTTTCGAAAAAAATTTATTTGAACTGATTCTCCTCGCCCTTCCTATTAATAGGTATTTTACTTATAAAACCACAAAACCTCTTTGATTATCGCTATGAAAACATCAGTAAGAAAGTAATCAGAACTTTTGTCGAGGAAATATCTGACTGAAACTATAAGCTATTACTTCGCAGGTTGAAATTGGGGTACAATGGTTCGTACTCTGTTTTCTGTACATCGTATTTTGTTTTCAGGCAACATTCATGACTAGAAATCTAGTACACATAATGGTGAATTGCTATTGAGTTGCATTGTCTACTTTGTTGCAGTTTTATGAAACGAAATTTTAGAGAATACCTGTATCGTCATCGAAGTTTCCATTCCATTAAATAATGTCTGTTTGAGAGATTAAACCATGATAAACATTTTCCACCCATAGAGTATTACTTTGCTGTTTTTGAAAGGACTGATCCTTATTGCTCTCAATAAAGATAAACACGCTAAAATTTGCTTAGCTTTTATGTGTCAATTGGTTTTAATGCTTTTATGGGAAGTGAGAAGTAATGGACATGGATGTCATATTATTTGGTATATTAGACCTAACATTTTCTAGTATTAGCTTCAACTGTTGTTATCGCTTCAGCTCGAGCAGATAACCACTATCTTTTTAATAAAAAATATTTTACAACACATTCCTTTAGTAGATAGAAAGAACTTAGTAAAAAGTGTCTAGACATTTTGTAGTTTAAAAAGTTCTTTATGTTGCAAACTTTATTTGTTCAGTTAAGCTAAAACGTACTGAATTACATCACATGTACTGTATCTTTTCTTCGGACGAATATGGAATGTTGAAGTTGCAGCTTATTTCTGCTGTGATTCATTCTTGTTATTGATATTGGTACGATTGTGCTTCAGTTGTCATCACATAATTTCTCAGACATGTTTCGCAGATAATTAAATGAAGGAACTAATTGTAAACCATATTGTCTATCTACGTGTTTTTTTTTAAAAAAAAATTCATTACCGTATGTCCATACCTAGACAACGATAAATATTTAAAATGAAGACATGTATCATCATTGTTGTTATTTTTCATAAATTCCTTAAAATGTTAATAAATTGTTTGATTTAAAGTACATATTTCATCTCCCTTATGATGAAGGCAAGGATATTAATGTACAAAGATCAATAATTGCTTTATTAATTAACCAATAAAAACTCATCACTACGTAATCTAGTTTTGTTAGCTGTATTCAGTGACACTAGAAATTATTTTTCAGTTGGATAAGAGATGTCCATGTAAGTGTCTAACGTAAAGGGGGGAGACAAAGAATATATTTTGTTTTACTAGAACTTACGAAATCAATACTAACTACTATTTTCCTCAGTGGTTCTTATCTTTATCTAAGATTATTCTCTGATTTCATATCGTTAGTTTATATAATTATTAGAGACTTCTCAAGCATATCATTGTTTAAATGGGATTCGTCATTTCGTTGCTTAAACTTTTAAATGTATGTTTATCTGAAGGTGATTTTCACCATTAACTGTTGTCATCTGACGAACTGTTGAAAACCAGAAATTAGATTATAATTCTGCCTTAGTTTTGAAGCTCTTCCATCTGGATACATTTAAATCCAAAAGAAGTAGAACCCAGAAAATTCTGATCCCGCAGTAATCAAGACATTGATGAGTTGGGAATGACATTGCAATGATTCATACCTCCAACTTTACTGAATTTTATGTGGCACACCAATCCACACCGAATTTCATTAGTGAGTAACTACTTCTATCTCAAATATGGTAAAAAATAAATCACAACGTCCATCAAGAACCTCAGTAAAATAATTTAGATGCCAGTAAGTAGTTTTTCGGTTGATGTTAACTCATGAAAACTGCTAACTTACATAACTCCTGAATATGATCATTCAACAGAAACATTTTTTACGAACGAATAATTTTTCAAACTTATGCTTTAGGTATACTTTATTTGAAACATAATTTGTTGCACTGAGATATTGAGTACATGACAGTTGTAATTGTTGGAACTAAACAGAGAAAATAGTATTTGAAATACCTTAAAAAAAGAACTACTTCACTTTTTTTAAACGCAGTTTTCTATAAGACTCTTCATAGCAATTCTTTCACATTTACATAAGAAATTCATGTGTTCTTTTATAGTCAAAACTACAAAGAGGTTAATCCAAATTTTAGAAAAATTAATTATACCCTAATGCTCATTGAAAGACATGTCAGACTAAAAGAATTTTATCATATTTACACTAACAAATTATATTTAATATTTTTAACTATGAGTCACAGTTTATTATTTATTTTACTAACTAAAGTTTAGATATTGTGAATACTCTGAATGTTCACTATCTATTGTATTTACATTTACAAATAATTAAAATAGCCCATAGTGTCATTGAATAAGAAAAAGAGAATTCAGTGAAGAAAATTTTCCTTTCGACAAAATTACTTACTTAAGCTGTACATTCGTATTTATAGTTATATAGAGGATAGAAAAGATTGCATCATAAAATGGATTCCAGACTAAATAACAAATGAGGTTGTTGGCTAACTTATTTATGCATTCATTGGAAACAATTGTTATCTCAATGTGTTCCATTCCACCAAAAATTTGGGTAAGATACATAGATGATACCTTTGTCATTATAAAACGAGATGGTTTACACGAACTATTCCAACAGTTCAACAGCTTAGATGACAAAATCAAGTGTACTAAAGAGCTGGAATCACCTGAACGCAGATTACCTTTTCTGGACTGCCTGGTTGAAAGGAAGGATAATGATTGTTTAAAAATTAATATATTCCGAAAGATTACATATTCAGGGAAATTTTTAGATTTTAAGTCTGCGCATCCATACTCGACCAAAGTGACAGTGGCCAAAAATTTGATCACCAGAGTCAAATAATTTGTCACTGAACCAAAAGATATAAAAATGGAAATGAATTTAGTTGTATCCACTCTATTAATGAATAATTATCCGAAAGGTTTTATTAAAAGAATAATTAAGAATGAAGAACGGAATGATATTTTTTTAAAAAGAGTTAAGCAAGGTTGGATGAACACAGTAGTGATCCCATATCGTAAAGGTATCTCAGAAGACATCAGAAGGATTTCAACTCGTCAAAATATAAAAGTATTCTTTCGAACAAACAATACTCTAAGATCAAAACTAGTAAGAATCAAAGATCCAATACACAAGGATGATCAACAGAATTGTGTTTATGAAATCAAATGTAATGACTGTAATGCAACGTATGTAGGTGAAACATCAAGGCAACTGAATGTGAGGGTGAAGGAACACAAACTGTGCTTAAAGCACATTCCTAAATCCCCAATTGATGTAAAAAAAAGCTTGAGAACAGATCAGCGATAGTATTACACTCGATTGAATCGGGTCATACAGTTGATTTCAATAGCACGAGAATCATTCAAAAAGGATTTAATTCTTACAAAGAACGACTAACAGCCGAAGCCCTACATATATGGGCTAATTCAAACAATATTAATAGGAGAGATGGAATACAACTAGCTGTCCCATGGCAACTAATAATTAATATAATAATATAATAATAATATATAATATATATATATTATTATAATATAAAAATGATCTGTTTTAATATACACAGACCGAAGTCAATATTTAGTTGAATGAAATTTCTTCTCACATCACTTGCGTATAAACACATTCTGTTGTCTTAAGACGTTTTGGTTTCATAACACATACATTGTCGTTATGTGTACAAAAACAATTTGTCATAACCTTGAATTTACATTGTATTCCTTAAGTCATTCTATGGCCTAGGATAACACGACAATTTCTTATTCTTCCTTTCCCCTTGGTTATTTTCAAATGAACTTTTACTTGTTTGACCTTTATTATTTTCATATAAACATGTCTCTTACACATTAATACAAATACCTATTTATAAAAAAATCCTTCACGATGATTGGATGACTTATTCAGTATACAGTAAACCGAAGAACCTTGTACCTATTTATATTCGATAATTTTGTTGTTTGATATTTTCCTTGAAAAAGCTTGGACCGGATTGCCAGGCGAAACGTTGGATTTACTTAAAATTCATTCGCTGAGATTTTACAAATATATTCTTCTTTTTAATGTCTCACATTAACTCGGCGCCCAAATATTGTGGAACTATTCGCTCAAATTTAAACGAAAGTTCTTATTTGAGGTTACGTATTATTCAAGGGGTAAGGAAGAAAATAGTTTATGGGTCAGATATTGGTCCAATTGACAAATATACAAGTTTTTTTTTTATCAGAAGGGGGTTTTTGTGGAGATTTTAGTAATTTCAATTGCTGAGATCATGAGTCAATTGAAGCTAGACCACCATGGAAAATCTGGAAGCACTGGACGGCCGTTTCGTTCTATCGTGGAACTTCTCAGCAGTGCGCATCCACGATCCCGCCTCGCGGGATTTGAAACGGCCGTCCAGTGCTTCCAGATTTTCCACGGTGGTCTAGCTTCAATTGACTCATGATCTCAGCAATTGAAATTACTAAAAAAAACCCTTCTGATAAAAAAACTTGTATATCTGTCAATTGGACCAATATCTGACCCATAAACTATTTTCTTCCTTACCCCTTGAATAATACGTAACCTCATTTGTTATTTAGTCTGGAATCCATTTTATGATGCAATCTTTTCTATCCTCTATATAACTATAAATACGAATGTATAGCTTAAGTAAGTAATTTTGTCGAAAGGAAAATTTTCTTCACTGAACTCTCTTTTTGTTATACATTAACAAGATTATTGGCAACCTTTTTAATCATAATATTTAATTGCTTTGTAATAAATCAAAAACATGTTAACGGCTCCAAAACACCTAGGACATTGGGAATAATTTATTGACTGCTAAGTCGTAAAAACTAAAATAACTTAACAATGATGCTTATAACTTATAAACCAATTTTTATAATTAGACTTACTTTTATGGATAGTAAACATTGCAGTTAATGAACTATCAGCTATGGGTGAAACGAGTATTTGTTTCAAAGCTTATCTAGCATCAATAGCTTCGTCTTATTCCACATCTGCTTTGTAATGCTTTTCTGAATAAATTTTATACTTCCTGGATACTTTTAATATTATTTGTCTTGGCAATCTGGAGAAAATAATTTGTTTCACCAGATTCAGTTTGTTTGATGATCAACAATTTTAATGTATCAATAAGCAACTTTTCTATAATGGTAATCAATGTATAAACAATAGTTTCTTTCACATTCAATCGGTTTAATTTTAAGGCAATAAAATATGTTTTCGGTTTTTTAGCAAATACAATCCAACTTGCAACATCGAACAAAGTAAACAATTATCATCATACGATCATACGCATATTCAAGATAAATTGTTATTTGATCGTAAAGAGCCTAAGATTTCGAAGTCCCATCAAAGTAACAAAAATCATGGTCATCATAAGTATCACGGTTATCATCATTTTAGACATAAACACAAAGAAAAATCGAATCCTGCTCCAACACATTCGAATTCAGAAGAATATAATGACAAATTATGCATCTTACCTGATGCAGTATCTAATTCGTGTTTCCCTTTATCGCCTTGCATAGCATTGGAAAGGGTTAAGCAACCTGATAGTTTGGATAATTGTCATTCGGAAAGCGACTTCACTTCCCCACTATTAAATTCAGTTGAAATGATTCTTAGAATAATATCTCAGCAGTTATGGAATGATCTTACACAGTGGATGAAGATGTTATTATGTAAGTACAAAGCATCTGTGTTTGTTGCTTTAAGCATATTTTCTTTGTATGTTCTCAACCAATATAGATTTTGGAGTTTTAACAACTAAAGGAGCTGACATGGCTTCGGATCACCACCTAGTTGTGACCAAAGTGAACTAAAGCTAAAAATGCAGTGAACAACTGGAGAAACATCATTACAAAAGTTCAATACATCCTTCCTTCGACATACTGACAAACTCAACGAATTCAGGACAGCTCTCAACAACAGGTTCCAAGCCTTACAGGATCTACTCAAACAAGAAAAAACTACTATGGACGACAACTGGAAAGAGATCAAAGAATCACTAACTTCAACGTGTCAGGAGGTTCTAAGCGCATCTAACATCATCATAAGGAATGGACCTCTATAGAAACCTGAACAAGATTCAAGAAAAGAAGAACAAGAGGACAATAATTAACAATGGCGGAACAAGAACAGAGAAGGTCAAGGCACAAGCTGAGTACACAGAAGCAAACAATAAAATCAGGAAGAGCGTCAGAGCTGACAAGCAGAAATACATGGAAGACCTAGCAACGACAGAGGAAAAACTACAAGAGAAGAAGCATAAAACAACTATATGACACAACGAAGAAACTAGAAGGGAAATATAGTAAACCAGAGACACCAGTCAACGACAAAGAAGGCAAGCAACTCAGTGAGATTCAAGAACAGAGAAACAGATGGGTCGAACACTTTGAGGAATTCTTGAATCGACCAGCTCCACTGAATCCACCGAACATCAAAGCAGCACACACAGACCTTCCTATAAATTTCACTGCACCAATGATCGAAGAAGTCAGCATGACCATCAGACAAATCAAGAGTGGGAAAGCAGCAAGACCTGACAATATACCAACCGAAGAACTGAATTTAGACGTAGAAGTAACTGCAAACATGCTCCACGTTCTATTCAGGAAGATTTTGGAGGAAGAACAAGTGCCACTGACAGACTGAAAAGAAGGATACCTCACCAAGATACAAAGAAAGGAGATCTGAACATGTGTGAGAACTTCGGAGACATCACACTACAATCGGTACCAAGAAACGTTTTCAACAGAGTGTTGCTGAACCAGACGAAAGATTCAGTAGACGTCCAGCTTCGAGATCAACAGGTCGGATTCCGTAAGGATCGGTCTTACACAGACCAAATCGCGACACTACGAATCGTCGTTGAGCAACCAATTAAATGGAACTCGTCACTACACATCAACTTCCTCGACTATGAGGAAGGATTTGGCAGCATGTATAAGAGGAAGATCAAAGAACACACTGCTTCGAGAATTGGAAGCAGACATCAAGAGAATCAATAACAACTGGAAGCAACTGGAATAGATTGTCCAGTACAGAATTGGATGGAGAATACCGATGGGTGGCCTATGCTCCTACATGAGGGGTAACTTGAGTAAGTAAGTAAGTAATACTTACAATCCTATTTTGTGGAAAATAACTAGGTCCAAATCGAAAACTGTCATTATGTTTCTTATTTATTCAAATTTTACTTCAACTAACAAAGTAGTTTTCTTATGATGAATCCTGAAATGTTTATTATTTCATTGTCAGCTGAGAATACGTTTCCGAACTTTGACAAATATGAAACTAATGGAATTAGTCAGAAAGCTTCTCACAGTCCATTTCAATCTCATCTGCTACACGATACCACTTTTTCACGATGCGATTCATCAGTTGGTGATGCACAAAATCCATCCGCTTTGCCATCATTTCGACTATTTAAACAAACAAAGCATTCCAATTCAGATACACCAAATTGCCTCATCGGTCAACACACTGTACAAACTCATGAGTCAAATATTGAACTTGCCGATCTATTGCAAATTTCAACCAAAACACTTCAAACACGTGAAAAGTCGTTAGTTCAGTAAGTCTTATTGAGTAAAATCGTATTGTTATTGTTAAAAAAACTGATGGCATATTACTATTAACTCAGAAAACGAAATTTCATCTGTTCTCTTAGTCATCATATATCAACCTCATGGGATAGGTTTAACACGTTTGAGTTTCCTTAATAAGTGGCTGACAGAATCAGCGTGCAATCAAGCAAATTAATGTGTGCACGCAATCTTCCGTGTTGCTTAGGCGAAAATAAAGATCTAGTTGGTTCTCATTCATGTTAATTAGCTCTTAAGCCTTTTTGCCCAAGACATTCCTAAACAGACTTCCTCTATTTTCAGTATGAGATTGTGAAGATTGTTGAATTCCATTGAAATCATGAAGTGACTAATGTCAGACCACTATTGAAAACCTGGAAACACTGGACATCTGTTTCGTTCTAGTGAGTTTTATGGAGAAGCCTTGACCACTGGAGTCCAACGTTGTCGGGTATGAGGCAGTTAACCACTGGACACAGTAGAAGATGGTCACAAAATATCGTGGATTGGTTGATGGTAGACGTTAACATCGTCGAATGCCGGCTCAGTGGTCTAGAGTTGATGCGTTTACATGAGATCGGCGGCCCCAGGTTCGAGTCCCGCGTGCAGGGTCATGGATGAGCACTATTGATGAGTCCCATACGAGGACATGACAGCCATCCAGTGCTCCCAGGTTTCCGACGGCTATTTATCGTTGGCTGGTCCGTGATTTCAACGAGGTTTCTGCTGTTAGAAGATACAAATTTGGTAACACTGCAAATCATTTTCATCTGTGTTGTACTAGCTTGGGGAATTTAGTTAGTAATCCCCTTAGTATAAAGCTGACATATTCGCACTACATAAATCTATGTTTGTATTTTTTCCATTTGCAAGGTCTCTGTGAGTCTTTCTAAATAGCTTAACAAGCCAATTCGACTATACTGAAAATAATTGAACCTAGTAACTGGCTAAACTAAAAATTACATTTGCAATCTGGTCTGTATATTTTATGTACCACAGCTAATGGCGTTTTGATGTTTTAGTGAGCTATCAACTGTGTTTCATTTTCTATACAGAATTGCTTTGTTATATATATCATCGTATATGAATAGTAACTTAGCTACTGGATGATTTCTGATATTCTTTTTGCATATTCATACGGTATCACTCCGTTTGTTTGCCACCTAGTACATATTTCCTTTTGTTACTTAAACAATATTCCTGATAATTTTCCCTTTTTTATACTCTCTACTTTACCTGACATTTCACCATAAATGATGGTTACATTTTCTTTCTCTATTAGACTTATATGCGTCGTTTTATGATTCTGTTCCTTGTGTTTTTTGTCTTTTTTTATTTAAAATTTATCTCTGACGCTGAAACAGAATTTCCCTTTACTTCCGTTAGTCTGGTCCTATTATTTATCTGATAGCAGTAGTGGTACTCCATACGAACACGACACTAACCTCACTAGTATGTATACTTTATGAGTTTAGTGTTTTGTTAATGACTTCATCTCCAATGTCATTTAAACGCCGTAACTCGCTTCACATTGTCATACTTTTACAGTTTGCCAATAACAATGACTAAAATGAAGTCATCAGATTATGTGGCTTTATGTACTTTTAAGAAATTATGTCATATAATTTCTTTTAGATAAGGGAACATTTTTATCTTTCAAAGAAAAAAATAAGCATTCTGTAGTTAAAGTTTTTTCCAGGATAAGCTAAATAATTTTCCTAATCCAGAAATATATAAAAATAAGAACTAGAGTTGCATCTGCAATAGGTCCTTACTTAGGAAACTACATGATATTTTTAATGGCATGTTTTGGTTAATATTTAGTGTTGAGGCTTGGAATAACACTGAATTCAAGGAATTTAGCTTTGAATTCCAGTAAATTTAAAAATAAGTACTTAGTGTTGTTCAATCTACAGTGCAGTGGTAGGCAAATGCTTGTTATTTATTTTTTGATTATTGAATGGCAGTTAAGAATCTCGTTGCACTAATTTAGATATGAGCAGCTAAATGCTATCACTAGCTTTCAAACATAAAAGTGCTGCCCAATATTCAGTGTATAAACCTGTGTTCCTTTGCTAAGTACAAAACGTTTTTCACTTCCTACAAATTTATTCTGGTTGATTTAACTCCTAAACACTGTTTTGTGACGTTAAAATAGTTCAGAAGTATCGGCATTCTAAAAATGTTTTAACCATAAATTTTATCGTTTAATGGATCATTTTTTCTGTTCAATGTTTTGAATTGTCAGTGTTTTTAATGGAATAAAGGAATTTGTCTTAATTATGATACAGTTTGAGTAGATTTTGTTGTTTAACATTCTTTTTGTTGATTAATTTCACTAATCCTTTTCAGGGAAAATATTGATCCTTTTACTAAAATACAGTACACTGGAAGTAACACAATTTTGAAAGACTCTACAAATAATCATTCAATATCTTCTGTAGGTGGTTCACAGTTGACATCAGTGACTATGACAACCATTACTACAGCATTATCTCGTATAAGTCCCCAATCTATTGGAACTATTTCTATCAACAGGCCAATATCCAGTTTAAACAATAAATCTGCAACCAATGTTCCACGTAAATTTATCCTTACGTGTAATAATTCTGTGCCTGAAATATCTCATCATAGCAGAACCAGTGGAGTTGCTGTTATTGGTGTTGCCGCTAACTTATACCATAATGAAAAACTTGCTCCATTAGATAGATTACGTACACCTCTACCACCACAATACTCTTCTATATCGGAGGAACCATCGTTTAGCACAGTATCATCAACAACCGCAAACATACATTTTACAAATACAGAGACTTCTCTTAACTCTACCTGTTCGGCAAGTTTAGCAAAATGTCATAATTTAAATGTTAGTCAGTTACTGTCCCCTGTAACAGTAAGTAATGCCTTAACTTCACTCCCACTAGTAATAACAACAACAATACTGCACACCGTACCTAATTCAATAAACAGCAGTAGCCAAATTCTGTCGGTGAATACAACCAGTATGATGAATGAAACTACAAGTTCAGGGAATTTCACGTTACCCCCGTTGTCTAATCCAATAAACATTTTATCAACCGTCACCACAGCTATATGTTTTCCTCCATCCAACTCTTTAAATATAGAATCAAGCCTGCCAAATCCGAAGATTAATTTATTTACAAATAATAAAACTGGATTTGGAATATATCAAGGTAGTGAACAAAGTAACCAGCATACAACACATTTGCATAAAAAAATATGTGAGAATTTAGTTGCGAAACAGAACAACATTAGCAATACTCTTGGGAACACATCTATTTTTACACAAAGAATCCCATCGAAATTGTCTATGCATTGGAATCAAAATTCTCCAAAGCAAGTAAGTTAAAATCTGTGAGGTGTAATTAAAATTAGATTTTGTATTTTGTTGAATAATTTTAAGAATATATGACTATTTCCCATAATGTCTACTTCTGTCTATGCGTGTCACCAGAAGCACCAATTATTCATTTTTTTAATATCTATGGAAACCATAGTAATTTAGCTTGAAATCACTTGTAATAATTGTTTAACTAGTTCAATGCTAAGAACAAATACACGAAATGTCAAAATAAATGTCATATGTGGGTTCACACAACTTGCAATACACGATTAGAAAAGATAGTGTTATGTTTAAGAAAATTTCATAACTCATTTATATGACCAAGTTTATTTTATAAGATAATTGTAAATAGATTTGCACCGATACCACACTATTGGACAAACCATATAACTCTTCGAGCCACGACATATCAGAAGATAAAGCCCGGCTTGTTACTGAGAAGTATATATTTTAAGGAAAAATACCATTCTATTAAATAAGGGTTTCTTCTAATTGCTTGTTAGTTGGATTTTAGTCAGTCAGTTATATACAACGTAGAACCTGGTGCTTATGTACTTTAGTTCAAACCTCCATACCTCATTAGCACAGATATATGTATTTCTCAGGCCATATTGTACAGTAGTAGAGGTAGTAACAGTATCAGTGATGATAGAAAAGATCGGGTATTGAAGGTACAATTTAAAGAAAAATAAATTATTGAGATGAAAAACGTTTTGTACGGAATTTAGAAACTTGTGATATAAGGAAAGAAAAAATTTGAATTGATTCTCGTCAGTTAGAACGATTTTGAGTTGTCGCCAAAAGTCTCTAATCATTAGCCAAATTTAATTAATTAGAACCTAAACAAGTGTCACACTGAACAAATGTCATACTGAACGAGTACTCATATACCAGAAATTGTCAGAATACAATCTCATTTCACACTGAAATAGTCAATAACTAAAATTGCCAAAATATAATCCAAGCTTATACTGAACGATTATCATACTGAATAAATCCATAATCTCGCTTTTGATTGCTTCCCATTACTTACATAATAGTTCAGCGATAAATGGTGTCTTAGTTGAATTTTATTGAACATTTAGTATACATTTTATTGCCTGTTATATTTCAATTTAATTCTCCAACCCCTTAATATTACGGTGCTCACGTGTTCTGTCTTTTATGAAGAAAGTTATCAAAATGGAGGCGATATCTATTCTCATATCACCTCTTAAGGATACGATTCTATATTTTATACTGGTATTCGTTGAAAAATTTCACTTTTGTTTTATATTATTCCGTTCCTATATTTAAGAAAAACAAAAGCTTGGTCTTTATTTCCAGAAGATTGAGTAGCAACGTACTAAGGTTCGCATAAAATTTATGATTGTATATAAGGAAGTAAACGATTGTTATTGTTTACACTAACCATCGACATTCGTTTTCGGATTGGTCGTTTGAGTCTGATTGATCTTTAAGTCTGAAATTGGTCAGTCTGTTATTGGCATATTCGCATCTTGTGTGGATTACCTCGATATTACCTTAAGTCACAAGCATTATAAGCAAAGGTAATTAATGGATAGCAGTAGAATCCAGGTGGCACGTTTCGTTGTACCTGGGGCTCATCGGATGTATGTACCTGCAACCAATACAAAAATGAATTAAACTTCACTTCAGTGCACAAGCTAGTGGCTGTTCGGACTCTTGCTAAGTAGATAACACGATGGGGTTGGTGTTGGTGTAAACATCAACTCTGTGGCGTAGGTACACCCAGCTGACGAGTCCCAAATAGGACGGAACAAGGGTCCTAGATTTCACTACTAGCCAACATCCATCTCTTCTTAAAACCATCAAGATCGTCTTGTGATATTTGCTAATTCAGGTGATGGGTTGACATGCTGAGATCAATATATTCAAAGAAAAATCCTTTGAGTTTTTAACTTTTATTTGCATGAAAAGATTTAAGAAAACCTAAAATTTCATTCCTCATTTCTTCTATTTATGATGAAAATAAAATCATTAAACATACGGATGAGATTAACCATATTTCCCACCACTCAAGAATTTGATACCATCTTCGTTCATTCCGGTTGTATTGCTATGGCTTTAAGGTATGGTTATTAAATAAATTTATCCGACGGTCTTGTGTATGAGGAAACCAAAAATTTGAATATCCAGTAGGTTACTAATTAACTACAGTGTGACGGCGGTCTGGATACTCTATTATCATGGTGTACAACCAAAAATTCATTTTTTTTTCAACTGAATCATCCTTCAATCCCAGGTAACTACTTTTGGTTTCTTGCTAAGTAGAGCCTGTTAACATTTAATTGTTTGAATATTGCCATTATTTCTACTTTGCAATCTAATCCCAAACTTCTCGTAAATAATAAAAAAAGTATGGGGTTTCGAATGAAAATTTATATGAGCACAATATTTTGTTGACGAAAATAATAAACCTTATTGTTCACTGTTTCTACTCTTCTTATCATTATTGTTTTTCATAGAACTCGAGAAAATATAATTGCACTGGACTTGTAAATTGGACAAAAATTTCTTCCAAGAGACTTCTGGTTTAAAGAGTGTAGTTAACCAGGCTTTTTATTCTTAAATCTTCCCAAACATTAAAAGAACTACGTAATTTTTTATCATGTTTCTTTTGTTTCGTTCAGGCTTCATTTCCTTTACCACCTATTGATATATTTAAAGACCGATTTGGAAGAAAACAAAAGCTATGGCGACCATACAGTTCAAGACCGTTATTATTAAATAAACCAATTACGAATCCTTCTAGTATGTTGACAAGAGCTTGCTCAACATTGTTAATTCAAAACCCTGAAATTTATAATGACTCATGCTCAATAAAAATAAGTAGGTTATGCTTCATCTGTGTTTGCGCTTATATTTTGAATAAATGAATAGCATAAAAATTGCCTAAAGACTCAATAACAGTCGTTAGAATACACTCCTATGAATGATAATGCAGCCTTCTGACTGACAAAAAAGCGATCATCATTGATCATGAGAAACAAGTGATACTTTTTTCATTTAGGTTCTTTTTAGTGGATTCACATTACGTAATTTTTTAACTGATATCTGTCTGAACACAACAATGCTAAATACTATTGACACTCGTGACTAAGGTTCCGCAGTTTAGGCCGATTGAAATTGCTCCTTAAAACATTTGTACACAGGCTTTCAAATACTCATCACTGAACACAATCATAATGAGAACTGAACCGCATGTTTGAAAAAAAAAGATCGAATTTTCAAACCCCTACTAACTTTATTATCCTAATCTACAGAGCAATAATCTAACTGTCTCAAACTATTGATGTCATTGTGTATTTTCAACGATCTCTCCAAACAATATCTGAACTGTAACTTTCTATTATTTTCTTCATAGAACCTAATTTAGTTTCATCATACCACTGGTCCAACGTGCAATATTTACTGTTCTTTTATTACTTTCTTCCAGTTACTTTTTTCTTCCCTTTCTGTCTCTAATAAGGTCCAGCAATTTTTATTGGCTCTACAACTAACCCCATAAGAGGTAATGATGCAGTTACACGTTAATGATTACATCCAAATTATTATTAACATGAAGTTAAGCAGAGATGTGTTCGTGAGTGATCGAGCCAAGCAAAGGATATCTTCATCTTCAGGCGTTTCAAGAAAGGAAACTATAAAACAGTTTTATGTTTGTTGCAGGTAGATAGAAAGAATAATCTTTATGAACCGTTATATATATAATGTGCATTTTCACATATGTATATCCACGTATTACTAATCACATTTATTATTCTGCAACTGACCATGTATTTGAGTTTAGCTGTAAATAAGAAATCAACGTATTTAAATCATTTATGAACCGAGAAAACTAATTAAATATGTATTTTTTTAAACTTGTTTAAACTCATTTGTGTCAAGACATGTATATATTAAAATATATATTGTCTTTAATAATTATGTAATTATGCAGTCAGTTGATTACATTTAATGGTAAAATTAGAGAGCAGCTGATTACAGATTGGTCCTCGTAATCAGAACCTAATATTAACCAGTAACGACTAATGAAAGTGGACACCGATAACTATAATATACATATAAGAGAATAGTATTGTTTGTGATTAGATTTTTGCCAGGTTTTGTTTACTCTGATTTGAAATAATATGTTTATCCATATATTTAAAAAATATTAAACAAGTCTAAGCGCTTGGTGAGTTATTGACTACAACTAAATAGACTACATAACCATTCGTAATAAATAGAAAGTATGCACTGATAGTAAGATGACATCAGCATCTGTAGTGATCAAAATAATAACAATAATAATTTCAGCAGAGGAAGTATGTTGAAACTTGAAAAAATCGTGTGATAAAATGTATATGGATAATCAGTTTAAATACTTAGGTAGTGAATATCAGATGAGAAAGAGATCAAGCGAATCAAGGGTTGATGTAAAAAAATAGTCTAATCGCCTACTAGACGTTTTCTAACCATAGAGTGGATAACGTCATTGCAAGTCTCTTCGATACAAAGATTAGAGTTGCTAGCTTGGATATTCATAGTCTCTCCTGAAGGTAAAAGGCGAGGTCGCATCCTATTAGGAAGACTTGAGGGTATACTATGAATACTTCGATTTTATCGAGCACATGACCACCATTTATCAAGTGTGACAGAAAAGTTCTGCGTATAGATTTTGTCTGACCGTTTACAATGAGAGATGCTCGCCAATTTGACTGTTAGTGTGGCCATATGACTTTCTCAACATGACTAGCTGAACTCATAAATACATATTGAGACGATAAGACTAGGTAACATATTCTTCAATTAAGGAACTGGTAAACGACAAATAGATATTATGTGCACACGATGTCTTTTTCACAGCCCTGCTTAATCTATCGTATCACACATCACTAGTTATATTGCCGTTATATTGTAGCTTCAGGAAGAAAGGGTCTTTACAAACAGCTCATGGATTTGACTTCCTCTTAGTTGTTGATATATGCTTATTCATAAGACTCTGTGAGTAACCTATTCTAATTAACAAATTATGTATAACCGCAGTTCTTTATTTTTAGCGTCGTATGAGCATTTGCTCTGTTTGAAAGGCATTTAATTCGGTTTCTATTGTAATGTATAGGTAAGAAGTTAAAAACCACTGTGTACCAACACTCAAGTAAACGTTAACTATGAGCGCCGCTACTGACAAACTCATTTTCCTTTCAGTTTAACAAGACGTCTAAGAAGTGCTATTTACTGTCAAGTTCCTCACGAGTAAACATGTTTGTCGAGAGAACACTGTGAATTTACCCTACTATTTCTCATCGAATACTCTAATAGACGTTGATCAATATATAATCCAACCTACCAGCAATCTCCTTAATATATTCATTTAATTTTGCAAGAAAAAAAGTCAAGTAAGATAGAGCCTAAACGTGATCCTTTATCTATACTATCAATTTGTCTTTCACAAATTGTTTTAGAAGGAATGAACGTATATTGTGTATCTTTAATGTAATTATTTGAAGCTAGCCTTCGAAATTCTAATATTGGTTTTCCTGATAGCCGTTAAAACACAATCGACTATCTCGATTATTAATAAGAAACTGTTCACTTAAATGTCTTGTTCTAACCTAAATTTATCATGCTATACAATGCAGTCGTAGAGTTTGCAGTAATACTAATAGCTAAGTGACTCAACACTACAATTTACCTTATTTTGTTCAAACTTAATATGTCCAAACTATATGTCCCTGCTATACGTGGAAATCACGATTTGGTTCTCCGATTTTTTCTGCCCCTAATTCATAAGACCTTTGAATCCATAACTAAAAGTGATTGGTTTTTGTCTTTGAGATAGCATGCATATTTTATAGGTTTTTTTTACCTTTATCACTATACTATATTTAAACCGATAAATAATATTGCTAGAAATTATAGATATGCGGAGTTTGATATTTTAGGTTGCTATGTCGAATTTTTTAGTGATGAACCAGAGATTGATTTGCATTTATGCTTTCTTATATCATTCGTTCAAGAGCTTTCAGCAATATTTGAGCTGGTACTTGGATTGTTTTTCTGGAGATTTCCGAAGTAGTATTTTCATGGGGCAGTTTGAGTTGATCGTTGAAGTAATGTATATTTTCTTAGTATCTTACAATCTGTATCTTTCGGACTGATTACTGCAGTTACTGTTTGAATTTATACTTTTTTACCGTTTACTAATAGTTTTTACTGATACTTAGCAATATTTTCTATAAATCAACACGTTGCATGTTACCTGCATTAAACGATAGTTTGTATCTTAGTTGAAAACAATGTTTGTACCAATAAAAACTATTCAGTTAATATGTTTATCATTTTTATTTATTCCCATTACTTATTATGATCTTCATCTGCTTTAATATTAAATTATTTAAAGAACTACTTTAATATACCTGTTTTAATTTTAATTCATTTGTACTGGTTGTACAAATCTTCCCAATGATGTTTATTTAGAACGACAAATGATCAGTCTCTTTTTGGTGTATTTGCATCCAGCACGGATTGCCCCCGTATTTCCATTAAGTCACAATCATTTACAAAGGAGATTTTTCTCAATTTTCAAGGGTCAAATAAAGTTGAGATTATTAGCAGACTAGTCAGCTAATTACCTCCGTGTCATTAACCGAATTATGTATAAATAAATATCAAGTGGTCCTGAATATTACACCATAAGGGGTTGAACGTGTTGATTACTCTGTAATAACATTTTCCAGAGTTTAACACGAACTGGATGACCTCATCGAGATGCTAAATCAAATTCACTCGATCACGTAGAATAATTGAAAGAGAACGTTTTTCAAAGAAAATCCGGGCATATAATTCCGTTAGCAACTTCTGAAATTTTTATTATAAGAGCGCAAAATGTGTAAGCTACTGTTTACGTGTTGTTGCCTGATAAGATGAATGTAAAGTGTATTTTATACTTCCTTTTTAAAAGTACCTTTACACTAAGGAATTTTAAAACTTATCTTTATACCATATTTTATTCAGTATGTTCTCCTAGTCCTTTTTCGATCTTAACTGTATGGAAATAGAACTATATCACTAGGTTTCAGCAAAGCGTTGATTTGAAAATAAGTCGAGGCAACAATTCATTCAAATGTTTCTTTTTATGAATAGTTCCTATAATTTATACTTTGGCTGCTTTTTGAAATTCTATATTATAAGTAGACTAGATAAAGTGATAAGTCACACAAGCGTAGTTTTCCTAATCTTGAACCAGAGGCTTCAAAATCAGTCAATCATCGATATGGTAGGATCAGGCATATATATTAATTCGTTCAAGTTGCCATACCTCATTAGCATAACAAGATGAACACAAAATTCATTAAAGAAGTTACTTCAATGGTAGTGATGTATAAAAGAAAGATCGTGTATAAGGATATAAAACAGGAAGAAAGAATTAGAAACATATAAAGTAATTTTTATTTCACGGTTTAAGGGCAGACAAAGAGTGTATACACCTACGTCATTTTGATCGATTCCAAGCAATGTCACCCAGGACCTCCAACCAATGGTTGCGATGCCGCGTAGACCCCAACCAAGTAGTTTGCATCTACCAATATGTCTCATATCAGAAGTTCATGACTTTATGGACTGATGCCATGTTTTGGTTTGACCACCCCTAACTTTCTTCCATCCGTCTCCAACACTAGTCAGCATTGCGCGTCGTGGTAGTCGGTGGTTGAACATGCGCAATACGTGACCCAACCATCTCATTCGATGTAGATTCACAACCTCATCAACTGATTTACCATCATTCCCTAATAGCCTGAGTCCAACCTCACTATTACTTACTCGGTGATCCCAGAAGATGCAAGCAATATTTCTAAGAAATCTGTGATCAAATACTAGTAGCTTACGAGTATCTTATACTCTTAATGGCCAGGTTTCGCAGCCGTAAATTAAAACAGAACGAACTGCTGTGCAGTATACCCTCCCTTTAATTGATAGACGGATATTTTGCCTTCGCCATAGGTGACGTAAGTTGGCAAAAGTCAAACAAGCCTTTTGAGAGAGATTTCGTCTGACACAGGAATTTTTCTCCGCGCAGATCTGTTAGCGGTTCACTGACAATTTTGATTACATTCAAAACGTAATAAAAGTTTGCATCTATGCATGGATACATTGTTTTAATTGTTTTAGAAACTCAACACGTTTTCCTTTCAATTCATTCAGAAATCATTTTTCCTGACATTTAGTTTTCCACAAAAGAGGACAGATTAGGTAAACCTTAGATAATCATTACTTTAAACTATTTGCTTTTGAAGTGTATACGCAAAATGTGTATACGTTTTAAACCATATTATAACATACAGATTAGTGAGTTAAACTATCACCATTTAAGTGGTGGTTTATTATCATCGTTTAAATCTTCAAATTAGAATTAAGTCATGAGTAGGAACTAAGAACCTATAATAAACTTATCCGCTCAAACTGTCTTGTTCTAAACGTGCGAATAAATAATTTCTACTTCACTCAAATTTTCTTGTTGGCTGTACTTTGCTGTGCTGATTTCACACTTGGTAGGCTAAACCTACATTCTAATGTATTGTCTCACGAACAAATTCCTATTCATATGTACTGTCCAAAAAGTCATTGATATTGATATGAGTTTTCCTAACTGTTAAGACCAACCGAAACCTCACGAAAAATTTTTATTTCCGGTATGTTCTCATGAACAATTTACTGTGTTTCGCCTATCCTCGTGTCACATAACAAACAATTATTTTTCGTTTGCACTACAGATAAAGTTATTTAATAGGATAGAATTTTCGCGTCACCAATTTAAATTTTGGTTTTAGCTAATCAAACATAGATTGTACTATAATGTTAACAGTTTCTCATGATTATTTATGACTATGGCATACGCGGATCCATACCAGCTCTTGTGTAAATATCATCAATAAAAGCTTGATAATTGACGTTGTTTGCTAGACCCATTTGATGACAATATTTGCAATATAATGCAATCCATTCTCTTTCTGTTAATGACTCCCCAAGTCCAAGTGTCGTTAGAACACGACGAAATTGACTTTGATTAACCGTTAATCGATGAGTTTCGTCAAAATCACTGAACATTGTTAACAGTAGTATTCTACGTTGTTTAACCTAAAAGTAAGTATGAACAAGGTAAAAAACAAAAATGTAAACATTCCAATCGGTTTGAAATACTGTCGGTGACCTGCTCAAACTTTTAAGCCGCTTATATTTCAACTACATAAATATTATATTACCTGATTCGGATTTCTTTATGTGAATGTTAACTCTGTGTCTACTCATGTATACATCATAAAATGATTACAAATTAGTTGCAGTACTAAATGCTGAAAAACTCAAACAGAGATCCTGAAATTCTTGACACATTATCCTTTGACGAAGTCAAAGACAAATATATTGGAAGGTCCTTGACCTTACAAATGATGGATGGAAAAATAGTTGTAGCAGCTAAACCTGTAGACAAGTATAATTAATAATAAATGTTAAAACGGCTTTTTTGTGTTTTAAATAATTGTAATTTAAACGCATGTTACAGAGATATTTGTGGTAATATTAAACAATTAGTGCTGAGAATTCTTTACTGTGCCAATATTTATGGTATTAAATACAGTGATTAGCATTATTCAGTATCAGTGAAACAACATGATATAATCCATCAAAAGTTATCTTTACTGTTTTAATAACTTACTTTAGCTGCTATCTTAAATAAAGCCTCGTCAGCAGATTTAGCTAATTCAGCTGTCAAGTGGTTCTGGGCAACTGATGAATCAGGTTTATACGTACCAGGTTCAATTAATGGATCTTTCTCTAAGTTTGGTGTTTGAAATACAGTCTCAACATCATTAACAAATGCCCGCCAGTCTACTGTATCAGGCATTGAACCTTTATATCTGCAAAAATAAATAAAATACGATGCTCGTAAATCACATATTATGTTATGGCTGCTACAAGAAAAACTTTCAATAGTACTATCACTCTCTTAAACATGGCATGTGTAGCATTAGATAACCGTGGTTGGGAATTTCATATTACTACTAACCGAGACACTAATAAATCCATTGCACTTGAATAAGAAATAACTGATGTATTTGTTATTCTACTGGTTACACACTTAGTAGATGGTTTTTTTACCTAATTACTAACTAAAAATACAAATTATTCTGTCTGATTATGAATGAAACTTTAAACAAACCTTCTTTTAAAACAGTTGAATGTAGCAACTAATGTTTGAATGTTTGTGTTTAATTTATCATTCTACACATTAAACTGTAGTTTACTAATCGAAATAGCATTTTATAATTCAAATGATACCATTCCTTAGATATTTTAAAAATATCTAATATACACCACCAAATTGAATAGTAAATGATAATAATGAGTTGTGTTTTTACGAAATTAACCATGCTTTTCTTTTATCTATCTCAATACTTAGTGAAAATATATCAGTAAAATTAAATCAACTTACAGAAAAAGTGTTATATTGCGGCTTCTTTATAATCACCGATTTTGGATTTTTGTTCAAAACATCTCATATAACTTCAAGTTAATCAAGTATATGGTAATATACAAATCAATTGGATTATAGTAATTAATCGTATAGGTGCTAGTTATTCTGGAATATTATAGATTTGATTAGTGTGTTGTTTCACCTCACTATAAATCATAATAACTTAAACAACACCACTTTTTGTCGTGTTCTTAGACTTCGAGTATAAGTTTTGATTGCTTCTAAGGTCCTAATTCTTGTTTAATATGCGTAACCTAAGAATCGATATTCGGAATGCTTTGAATATAATCTTTTAAAAAAAATTATGTAACATCATTTAATTGATCTTTTAATATGTTGTAGCTGAAATTGGTAATGTGCGTTGTTGATTCTTTCCATTGAATACTTTGAATTGTCTTAAATATGAGTTCATTTATTAACCCGTTATACGTATAGAGTAGTTATCAAGTTAATATTATCCCGGTCATTAAATAATGTTATTAGATATAGACAACTCATTATTTATGTGCATTTATTTGCGTAATTTTTACTATTATCATAAATGCCTTCCTAATTTCTAGAAATAAATTGAGTGCTTATAATATTCAAGTTAATAGATAATACCAAGATATTTATTACTAAAGCTTAAAACATCTCCTTAGGTTATGTATGATATTTATACCAAGTGCATATTGTTATGTCCAACAACAAGTCGTTTTTACTTCATCAACAAGCGGCTATCTATGAGGTGTGAATAAAATGAAATAACTCACTACCCAGCAACCGATTAAAGGATTTGTGGCCGCATTTCTGCA